TCGACGCCAAACTTCCCAAATTTATTTGATCGACGACATTACCTTTCGCAACCGAAACGTTAGGCGGCGATTGTAAATTGGGACTTTTGTTGCCTAATTGTCCCCCAGCCATTGCCAATGCGTTACTTATTAAACCTTTATTGCTCTGAAGCATATTGAGCTGAAGTTGACGTAAATTGTTGCTGTTGTCGCCACTGTCAATCCCGTTTTGCATCCCTGTTCCGGGACCGGGACCATGAGGCGGCGGTTTGCTGTTTCCCATCTCATGCCACGGCGTTATCAACTCGTCAGGAAGGTCGTTCTCCAGGTCGAACATGTCCATGTTCGAAAGAACATCTAGTAAAAGACATTAAAAAAATTATAAACAAATATCAAACTGTGAATGAAAGTGTACTTTTTTAACAAACCACAATTAATTAAAAAAAAGTATAAAAGAGTTCTTTCTCCACTAGATCAGCATTTTTTTTTCTGTAAATATAAAAATGATAACAATTTGATTTTGTATTTTTGCTTCTTATTTATGAATTGTTGTTTTTCCTAAAAGTTGTTACACAAAAACGTCTTGGAATTGTATACTGTGGTGCAAAAAAGTACACTTCAAAATTAGCTTGACAAAAAATTGTTATACACAAAAATTACAGGAAAATTTTTAAAACCACAATTTCATCTAGCTTAAAAATGATCACATAAAAGATAAAATATTACAAAAATGTTGAAAATGAATGAAGTCAATGTATTTAAAAATCAAAAACTGAGCTTAACATGTACAAAAATATATTTTGGTAAGAATTGACAAAAAAATCTATATTTCAGACAATAGTTCATGTAGAGTTAAAAAAAAAAAAATTAAATTAATGTTCATATAAAATTTAGGAATTTGGTAATAACAAAGTCACTTTTTGCGAAATAAAATCGAAATGTTTAAGTTGAAGAAAAAAAAAATACATTTAATAATAGTAGAGCATAGAAAAAAAATTCAAATCAACTTTGTCTCAAAAAAATAATAAATTGTGATTTTCAACTTTAGAAGACAACTGGCAATTTCAGTAACTGATGATAACATGTTTTAGAAACAATCTGAAATTTAGAAATATGTATTAGATTTTTTTTTAACAAATGGTAGGAATTTTTATAAGCTCTAAAGTATAAACAAGAAGATATTAAATTTGGGTTTAAAGAAGTACGATACAGCACAAAATAAACCTAAATTTGTGTTATATGCAACAAATCTTCAAGCACATGAACCCCTTAGACAATCTGAACAAAAAAAATCCACTTTTTGTGGACGCAACTCCACTGTCTTTTTTCTTCAGTTATGATAACAATGACCAGATTGTGTAATTATTGTAGATTTCATAACAAAGCAAGAGTTTTTTCTAAAGAATTTTTCAAATAGTCTCGCACTAAAACAAATCACTGTTAGTTAATAGAGAAGCAGCGCCAAAACAAGCCACAAAACGAAAACACAAAGTGTGAGTGCATTTTGAGTAAAATCTTGTTTGTTTTCGTTAGAGTTAGTCGGTTTTTTGAGGTATTTGAGTATTTACTTTGATTGTGGCTCATGTTCCAATGGTGCTGGTCGTGTTCGTGTCCACCACCCCCCATGGCCGGGCCGTAGTAAGCTTTAAGTTACGATTAAAATTAATAAAAGTGTGTGTGACATTAGAAAGATGTGCGGTTATTTGCCGGTGTCCGGCGTGTCATGCATGCGCCCGTGTCTCGGGGGCGGCTCACCTGAGGAATCGGAGGGCCCCTGGAAGGGGTCGAGTTTCTGCCGTTTGGCGTTCGGCGGTCCGTCGACGAGATGATCGGCCATCGCGAAAAGCGTGAATTATTCGCGCGAAAAACACATGATCAGGTCCTTTGACTCAAGGCACATTGTCAACAGTCAACCATCGGCCATCTTCAACTGCACTCTGCTTCTACCTCTCACCATCTTCCGTCGGAGGCGCACAATGTTCTCGGCCGTAATCACTCCGCACTTTTCCGCACTTTTTTCACTAACATCGGCGCGCTCGCACCACTACATCAGCGTCCCCGCCGAAAACCCACCAAAAAACAACCCTTTGATTTACATACAAACCGACGATTTGCGGAATTCATACGAAATTCAACGCGTTCTCAAACAGGCAAAATGGCGGCTGTTGATGAAACTTTTTCTACGCTTGTCAGAATTGTTCCATCTAATCCAAACTATTCGCGCGGCTATTGGCCCAACCTGGCCACGTGACCCCTATCTCCAACGTCATTGGTCCAAACCTCCCGGAAAACACGATGTGACGCAGCGCTCGTGACGTCACCCGAATATTGCCGAACACAGAACCTTGACGCTCACAATGCGCTCCAACAACTGAAAATCGTGCACGATTTCGACGACTCAATTCAAAATGCACCTCAAAAATTTTAAATAAACAGAGCGAAATTTTGAGGGATGAAGAGGCGTCCCGACGCCGCGTCAGGTAATGGAACAATAGACGCAACAATGGACGATGGAGGGCTCTATTTGACACTTATTGGTCAGAAGAACATAAATTCAAATAAAGAACGATATACATACAAACAAAGAGCGTCTACCCAGAAGTAGGGCATTGTTAAAAATCTTGTAAAAAATCATATTTTAATCATAGATTTACCTAGAGATAAATTTTATCGTCGAAATTGTCTAAATTTTTGAAAAAAAAGTAGATATTTGACTTCCACAAGAAAGCGCATCTAATAGTCATAGAGCAATAATAAAGCATTTGCTTGGATATTTCTTAGAAACGAAATTCAGTGAAGTATAGTCTGTTTTTTTAAATGGAAATGTCAAGAAGTCTTAACGTTGGCACCACTACCAAATTCAACGTGGTAATTTTAACAATAAGAAAGTTGGCTGTTTCGGTTTTTGATTTAATTTGAAAACAATGTCATTAAATTAAATATCAACAAAAAATCATCTAAGAAAATGTAAAGACTATAACACAAGACTATAACACACATCTTTTGCAAAATGACTTTTTCTCCAGCTGGAGAAAACATGTCACTTTTAATGTTATTTTTGAAAGATAAAATTGACGTCTTTAAGGAAAAAAAAGTTACCATGGCAATTCTCATTTTTAATCATAGCCCAAAAAAAATTAATCCTAGCTTTAAAATTAAATAATTTTCTTATTCAATGAGTATTTTAGTTTTTTATTCAAATAATTTTGCGCAATTTTGTATCCGCTCGGCTAGGCTACGCCTCGCCTCGCAAATGCAAAATTTGCTTGAGAAAAAACTGACACTTTTAATGCTAATAAAATAATATACTATTTATCTGTTCAAACAACCTTTTTCATTAAAATTTTTATAAGCAACAAGCTTATTTTTACCCCACAACATTGCAGTGTGGTTCTATCAATATTATTTTATTATTAAATATTTTTAAGATCTTTTTGGTGAATGAGTTTTGTAACAAGATTATGAAAATATTGTGTTCTATCAGTTGTGTTTAATTAATTCAACGAAAAAAGCTAAAAAACAGATTTTTTTTTATTATGGATTGAACAGTTAGTTAATCCATAACACCATAAAAAAATCGACAGCAGTTACACAAATATTTCTTCTAAGAAACAAGCATTTATTAAAATTAATATAAAAATCATTCATTCATTGAAGATGAGACAGTTAGTGCCCGAAACATGTTTCAATATACTTAAGCTTTAATTTTTGTGCAAGACGACTTTTTCCCCTGTATACCCCCTTTAATTAAGATTTAGTTTTTGTTTGTCGCCTCATCATAAAATCACAAAACTGTACTTTTTCTAGAAAATCAGTTTTTTTGAGATTCTGAATTAAGGTTACTTGATTCGGATAAAACTTATTAGCTTTCAAAATTCGGGAGATTTACTTATTAAGACTAGCTAATCCCAATTTACCTGGTTATAAAAGTTTGACTTACATGAGGGTTCTCTGTTACTGCTGCTTCGATTCCTCGTATTTCATTTTCTGGATTGGTAACTGTTCTTGTGTTCTTTTACTTTTGGACAACCTACTTAGTTTTTGTTCTAATCGTCTAAAAGTTCATTTGGAGCTTTTCTGGAGGGATATCGCAAATCATGTACAAATTTACTGCAACTGCGGCGCTGTTTTTTCATTGCTGGTGCACATTTTTAGATCAAAAAATTTATTAAATACAGACTGAGTCACATAAAAAAATAATTAGGTAGTGTTGTGTAAAGTAGGTACAACCATGTAATCATTTATCAAGAATAACATTTTTCGAAATTCCTTTTAGTTTTCGAGTTTTGCAAAAAAAAGATTTTTAAACTTACTGTTACATTTTTTTTTAATTAAAGACTAAAAATGACATCTAATTAAATAAATAAATTGTGTTTTAACCAGCAGTTTTTTTTACAAATTCTTAAAGTTCCGAGCTCATCACGAATTTATTTAACTTTGATTTTTTTCACTAATTAAAATTTATTGATTTTAGACCACAAGATCAAATTGTCCTAAACAGATATACAAATGGTACAAACTTAAAAAACAGACCCAAATTCCTAAAAATTTATATTGATATTTAAGATTTCGATTGGATATTATAACTTTTATAATTAAAATATTAAAAACAGTCAACATCGTTGACACTATAATTTTTGAAATATATTTTAATAATTTATTATAGAATCGATAAATTTTACACCTAAAAATCGTTTTGTGTCTAATGGTTTTAATATACTAAGAATGTACCTTATTTTTTGTTTCTGAAACACGTAAGTACATTTAATTCAAAAGTTCGTTTAATTCTAGCTAATTTTAATGATAATAAAAACTATTGATTTTGTGCTTAAAATCAAATTGTTCTGAACAGACCCACCGTACAAAAATACATTTATTTCGTTCATAAACAATTATGCAAACCACTGCACAACTAATCCAACAAACATGTTAGAAATTCTTTCTATGTTCGCGCTACATGTTCGCTTTAAAGTTGGCAACAAGCACGAACTTTCCAACAACATCAAAAACCCCAGTGTCGCCCATCATGGAGCCTACACCCGTGGTAAAAACTCCAGAATGGTCTAGTATCGAAGTCCTGCACCTTATCAAAGAATTCGGCAATCGACCAGCCCTTTGGGACCCTGACTGCGAAGACTATAAGAACAAATCCCGGAAACATGCCAAATGGCTCGAACTAGCAGCTATTTTCAATTGTAGCAGACTTGAAGTTGAGCGCAAGATGAAAATTCTCAACTCTCAATACCGGAGGGAAAGACTCAAAGCCATTCGAATGAGGAGAGCCGGGAAAACACACAAAAGTACGTGGTACGGTTACAAGGAATTTTCTTTCATGAATAAGTTGTTGGTGAGATACAAGAATAAAACTGCGGATATTATTAAGCAAGTATGGGTTTAAGTTTCGGTTTCTGTGTGTGATTTGGGTTCTTGCAGGAAAATGAAGAAGAGATGTTAAAAGATGAAGAATGTGAAAACACAGAAGTGGCAGAATCACCACATTTTTTAGATGTTTCAGAAATGGAAAAAAAGGGCGAAACTCAGAATTATCCTGATGAATGGTCGCTCTTTGGTGAATTGGTCGCTTACGCATTTAGGAAATTACCTGATGACAGGACAAGATGCATAGTCAGGCATAAAATAAATACAGTTCTGTATGAAGCAGAGCTTGCAAGTTACGAAAATGGAATAAAACAAAACTGCTATTAAAAGAGATATTTCATTTTTAAATCTTACATAAAGTAGGCGTTAACATGTATAATTTCTTCAAAAAACTCTTCATACATACAATTATATACATACACCATTATTATGTAGCTGGTCAAAAAGAAAGGTACATTTCAAATGTTTCAAAGTACGGTCCTGTGATACCTAAGTACTGGTGTTTTATGTTAAGAAAATATGACATTTGAAACGTGCCGTAAATTAAAAGACTGTAGCCCCTAAAAATTAAATAAGTGCCACATATACGTTATCAATAATTATATTTGAAAATGGATAGTCCTATTGATAATGTATATGTCGTAACCTTGACCCACTTTATTGTGGCACTTTGGCTAAACCTTAAAATTACCCAACACATAAAATAAAATACGTCAATTGCAGTGTTGTTACAATATTGCGAATTTATTGGCGGAAAAGGGGACCGTAATTTATGACGAGACTTAAATTAGAAAATGCACAAACTGGAATCAAATCGTTATCACTTTAGGATTACATAAAAATTTGAAAAGAAGCTCACATAAGTAACAATTACCGGAAATGCATCACACGAACCATCCTTAAAAAATATGTTAAAAAAGCCAACAAGATCATATAAAACGAAGATATTTTTTACACAAGAAGAGCAGTCTTTCAGCCTTAATTTCAATCATCTTTGCTTTTGTCGCCCGCGCCCGTTGGGGTCTCATCTTCTTCATCATCAGAGTAATTCGTGGGTTGTTCGCCTGGCTTAAGTAACTTCCCAACGAGGTCGTACTTCTCTGCAATGAATTGCGTTATTCGTTATCTCCATGACCGGCAATTTACCTTTGAACTGCGCCTCCCATTCCCGAACTGAATCCATTTCCATGGTGTTAAGGTCGCTCAAGTCGTCGTACTCGTCGGTTTTGGCCGAGACGGAAAAGGTGGCGAGGCCTCTGGAAGCATCCCGGCCGCCAAATGCCGCATAAGGGCCCCCTGACACAAAAGCGTGACATCATCATGATGGCCGCTGCGAAATACTTACCGGGGCCGTAAAATCGCTTTCCTTTTGTAACGTCGTACACATTGCCATTGACGGCGACAAGGACGCGCCCGTCTTCTTGATTCCCGTCGTATTTTTTCAGTTCTTCAACGGTAAAGTCTCTTTTTTTCAGTTTGGGGAGCTCCGGCTCGGGTTGGCGACTTTGAGGCACATCTTGTCGGCTTTTCACTATTTTGTACACTAGAATTCCGATCAGACACACTAGAAGAATGTTCACGGGACTTTGGATGATTTCCAATACAATATTTGTGAGGAAACCGCCGGAATTTGCTTCACTTTCCGCCATCTTGACCAACTATCTGACTTGACTTGACAACTTCATAGTTATTTTTACTGTAGAGTGGTGGCAGCACTGCCGTCAAAACATGACCCATGCATGACCCGGGGTCAAGGTCAACACAAATTACGCCACAAAAATTACTAAATTTTTATTTATTTCTGATAAAAACACTTAATCGGTCATAATCGGGTCAGGACGCCTCCTCGGCGTAACTTATTGGACATAAAACCAACTTTTGGGACTAAATTAGGCTTTGAATCACGATGTTGAATCAAAATCCCTACAAACATTTCTGAATTTGTTTTTGCCGCAACCCATTATACATATTGCAACAGTTGATTTCAAATTTTGAAAATAATTATAACTAAATCCACGATAGATGTTACTAGTCTTGTCTCTTTAACATTAAAGTAAAAAAATCATCTCTCAAACTATGCGACATGTTTTGTTATCGTTTACCAACCGACTAGGCGCATGTTTAGAAGTCGATGGTAGACACTTCAAACACCTTTTACATTAACTTAACTTGTTAATTTATTTGTTGAATTGTGATTAAATATATGTTATCTGTCAATCTTACATTTCTAGCAAATCTATCCAACTTACTTTGATTTGTAATTTAAAAGAAATAACATATTTAATTTAGCAGTTAGTGATATTGGTATTGTTGGTTGCGGCAAAAAAAAATTCAGAAATAACCCTCCCGTGAATAACCCTGTATACAGCGTGTATACGGTCTTGGAGTTGAAAATTAACCAAATCAATAAGTAATAAAAGAAGCAGAAATACCTAGTGTAACAGAAAAAGTATAGTCTAGAAGGCGTTTAGAATGGCATATTCCGCCCTCATGGAACCGTTGCCTTCGGCTCGTGAGACTTTTTACTTGTGCAGAATATACAATAACAATCGCAGTCGAAGCAGCCTAACAAATAATATAAAATGAGTTATTTTCTGTTACACAACGTAATTTTTTTTGATATAGCGTATTGCTTTTTATCTAACATGCACATCATTGCCTTTAAATTTTACCCTTAAGACCGTAAACACCCTGTATAGTTCTCATTAACTTAAAATTTTCTATATCAAGCAATACTCTACCACAGAGAAATAGTTATGAAAAAAAGTATATTAAAAAACAAGTGTTACAAACACTCGTTGTGATACGAGCCACGCAGTGGCGAGTGTTACAAATGCACGAGTATCACGAGTTTTTGTTAACACGCGTTTTTTGTACTATTTTTTCTATTGAGCGCTTTTTAAATTGTAATGATTGCACAAAATGCTCATTGAGACACCGAAATAAAAAAAATGTTTTAAACCTTTGAAATCTCAAGACAAGCGTCGTTTAAAATGGCGGACACGAAGTTTTGTACATCAAATTTATATCAGTTCAAAAAATGTAAAAATGTCAATGTAAGCCACGCCTTATTGTCAATTTTTTTTAATTGATAAAAGGTGTGAATTCGTGTTTTGGGAGTTTTAACAAAAAATGTGTTTGTAAACATGTACCTAAAACGTTTTTGTGAACTCATCTACTATTCCAGACTCGGCTTCGCCTCGTTCGATAACAGGAATGTTTCGTCTGCAAAAACTGTATTTTAGGTACAAAAATAATTATTGTTTCAAAGCTACAGTGATCAGGCCTCTCTTAAAATTCAAAATTTCAGTCATCAATCCCTATTTTGATTTTAAAGATGCATTTGATAGTCTTTCCAAAAACCGTCTTAAATAGGTCTTTTATATCCTTTTTTGCTGAGAACATTTTCAATAAAAAAAGTTCAGAAAGCTTGAACAAAGTGAACAAGTCGGAATTTGAATGAAAAGTGATTTGATGTGAAAAAGATTTGCCCTTATATTTAAGGCTAGTGCCTTAAACTTCTAAATCCTCTTTGCTCAATGATCAGTGGTCATTTTTAGAACAAAAAACTCTTTTCCTACGACCATATACGAAACTAGATCATAACGCACAATTACATATGAGCGAAAATTGGCAATATCGTACGAGGTCGAAAACCTGTGCGATTTGTTTTCGCACTGTGTGTTAGAAATCTAACGCACAATTCACACTCGAATGTTTTGTATTTTTTCATTTAACGTATTTTTTTTTGTATCCATTATAAAAAATAAATCGTTATTTATTCAACGTATTTTTGTATCCATTATAAAAAATGAAACCGTTATGAAAAAAAATATGTTCGTAAGAAAATAATTATTTATGGTCGTAGGAAAAATAGTGTACAAAACTTGCAGGAAAGTGTCTAACGCACTCGCGGTATTGCCTGCACTCGGCTAACGCCTCGTGCGCAACTTTTCAGCTTGTACGTTATTCATCACTTTCCGTGATCGTTATGTAATATACTATTATTTGCTATAATTGGTACGCAGTTTTAAGTAAACAAACAGTTTTTGTTTATTCTAATTAGAACAAAGAAGATGCAATTGATCATTTTTAAGCAAAGAAGAGTCTTAAAACAAATACTTTTATAAAATGCAATTTTAAGTAAAATTAACTTGCATTTTTCCTATATGGCGCAATGCCTAAATAGGAAACTTTAACTTCAAAAAATCAAATCTTGAAAACTATACTCGGTATATTATTTTAAAAATTTGGATCCTAACTAGTAAAAAGATGCGTCACGATGGTGATGAAGAAGAAAAATTTTACTCATAGGGTTTTTCTTAGATTCCTTCGATTTACACTGTTCGAAGAAAAGTTCGCCAATATTTAATTTCAAATTGCATATCATTCTAAAGGACAAGTTCATCCCTTTAGAATGGTCTTTACTTAAAGGAAATCGGCCTAATAGTTATTGAGTAATGATTTTTTAAAGTTAAAGAATTTTTTTTTCAATTCATTTAAATTATAAAAAAAAATTTAGTTCAATGTGTGTGGGCTTTTTGAATTTTTTTTAGTGCATTGATTTGACTCACAGAGACGAACAAAATGATATACAGGGTCAGTCACAGAAGAGTTACTTCTGAAATAATTTGAGCAGCAACCCATTATACAATTCACATAGGCCTCATTTTTAAAAATTATAAAATTGAATCCAAGAATACTTTGCATATCTTTTCATTTTGACATTTAAAAAGTAACAGTCAATTTTCGTTAATACAATGTATTACTACACAAACGAAAAAGTGGACATGGTTTTAATCCAAGGAGAATGTAAGAAAAATGCAGCTGCGGCAGCAGCTTTGTACTTGGAGTGGTATCCAAATCGAATCCATCCGGTTTCTGAAACATTTAGAAAACTGGAAGCCAATAAGTTACGACAAGATTGGCCCCCAATGAAAGACCCCGTCAGAGGGCTGCTACTGGTCCAGAAAATGAAATTAAAGTCCTTGAAGCAGTAGACAATTAGGTACTTGTCATTTTGACGACTTCACTCACTTACATCCAGCTCACATTGATTAATGAATTAATTTAAATAAAATATTATATCCAATTACATACGCTAAAGGTATTTTTGGTTGAAACCTAATTAATTTTCGAAGTAACTCTCCTGGATGTTACGGTATTGTTGGTTGCATAGCTTGCTAAAATATGACAGCTAGTGTTTGTAGATAATAATAGCTCAAGGTTGAAATATTGTTGTTGAAATTGTATTACTCACAGATGCTAAGGTATTGTGCGTTGATATGTTTAAAAATTGTTTCCTGAAAACATGTTTGAATTAAGGTTAATGTCGATGTATCTGTGATATTCCTACATTCTCAGTAGGATTTTAAGGTGAGTTGTTACCAATTGTACTTTCTAGATTTATTGGTTATGTAGTGATTATTGTGTCATATGCAAATAATTTCTAAAAGGCAATGTCGCAGCTTTTGCTTATCTATTTTGATTGTATTTGTTGATACACACTTTTAGTATTTTTGACTCAGTTCATACCCCTTTTAACGTTTTACTTACTTGTTTTTAATATTACCACTTAATACGCAGTTATTTACATTTTACATGCCTACATTATTTACATTTAAAGACAATTGAAGGTCATCTTGCCTCCATTTACAAAATATACAGAGTGTCAATTTTAAAACTTGCAATCGCCAATATCTCTAGAACTAAAAAAGTTATTGAGAATCACTCAAAACCGTTTCGGTAGTTTTTAGGGGGAATCAAAATGGCATGGTAAGTGACGCTCCTCCACCCACCCTTCAAGCCACAGCCACCTTCAGTTGAAAATTTTAAATGGCACGATCCTATACCCTTTTTCATATTAATGTACATCAAGTAGGTTGTGGAAGTCTAAATGCATCTTTAACTTGAAGGCTGATTCACACAAAAAGTAGACGTTAAATTTTAATTTTTTTAAATTATATTCAAGGGTGGGTGGAGGTGTGTCGTTTTAATTCTCTCTAGGAACCATCAAAACGGTTTTGAGTGATTATTAATAACTTTTTCAGTTGAGAGAAATTGCCTGTTGCAAGTTTTAAATTTGACACAGTGGTTTTATTAAGTATGTTCATTCATTTTTATTTTCATCAGAAACTGAAACTTATTTTAAAGTCTTGAAAACAATTTAGTACTTTTCCCTACCAACTTCACTTAAATGAGGCCTTCCTTATAAATTCATACAGGTTCGGACATGGAATTTTGGATGCTTTGGTCATTCGATTGAAATAAAAATGTAAAACTGGCCTTATCTGCTACTAACCTCACTTAGGTTATTGCATATTCATTTTTATTGTTGTCATGGTGTAATTTCAAGAATGCTAGCTTTATGGTAATTTTTAAATTTTATTAAATAAAAATTACAGCCAATTTTTTGTATTTTTAAACTCAAGTCGTGCAAAAAATAGTATATAAACCAGTGGAAAGAAATACTATTATTCCTTTGGTGCTTTAGAGTTCGCCCTCTGGCTGTAAAGAGCACCTTACGAATAATTGTGAAATTATGGATTTCTTTCCCTTGATGTATAATATACAGGGTGAGTTAATTAAAATAACGACCCCATCTGATTTTCAGACGCAACCCAAAATACATTCTCGCAGATAACTTGGCTTTTATTGTGTTACAAAAATTATCATTTTGTTCTTGATGTCATACTAAATGTATTTAATCACCTACTTATAACATATTTAAAAATTGTACATAATCAATTTATAAATAAATTTCGATATCAGTGGCAAACAAACATTCGTATTGTTAATATAATTTAAAAAAAAATAGATAAGAAAAGGCACTGAAAAACAAAATTGTGAGAAGCGTGTAGTGTAGTGTTGTAACAGTAGATTTTACAGAAGTAAAAGTGATACAGTTGGAGACAAAATACTTTGGTCTTCAATGTCACTTGAGTGACATTAAATTGTAAAGCATGCTTTAGGACTGTTAACCTTATTTTTAGCTACTGTCAATCATAGTTGACAAGTTGCACATATTTTTTATAGAAAGATATAATAGCTGTCATTAATTTGAAATTCTCATTCATTTTAACGTTAAAGCTGGAATTACACTAAAGTGTCAGAAAAGTGACGACCAAAGTATTTTGCCTCCAACTGTACGTTATTTCGCGAAGCTGAACGTTTATTTCATTTAAACATTTACACCGAATAACATACATTTTTTTCATCCGCAAACCCTAAAAAACTGACACTTGTGTATAGTGCTTTTGTGTCTAAATGACAACTATAAATTCTACATCTTTGTGCTGTGCTTTTTTGCCATTGCATAAAAATTTAATCGGGTGCCTTGAGGACTAGATATTGTCATAGACTGTTTATGACAGTATCTTACGTTTGCAAAATGTGGATAGCTGTTTCAAGTTATGCAATACGTTTTCTTAACATTTCTATTTCATTTTTTAATCATTTGGTACCTATAATTTTGTTAGGAATAGTGAACAGTTCGGATACATAATTACAGACCGTGTAATGTGAAAGTGTAAAGTGTGCTTATTTTATTTCAAGTAATTATACAGAGTGGTTATAAATGATTTTCATCTAGCCAGCTGTGAATTTTCCATGTAAAATAAAAAATGCCGCTTTACGAAAATAGGGGTACCTACTTGTTGTAACTCAAAATTAAAAAATCGCCGTTTACTAAGCGTCCACTTCGAAAATAGACTTCAATTATAAACTTGTTTTCTTCCAAAGTATACATTATTATCAATTATTATTGGAAGTTAGTTGAAACAATAAAAGTTTAATTAACAACAATTTATTATTAATTAATAAGTGACACTAATGACAGAACTATAGCTTTCAAAAAAGTAGAGCGGCACAAATAAACTTACATGCAAAAAAATTCCAAAGCTGGCTAGATGAAAATCATTTATAACCACTCAGTACAAACATTAGAAGAACGTTTGTAATCATTTTGTTGTTATCTATCTGATAATGATAAAATAATATCAAAATTATTATTTCCAAATATTAAAACTACCTACATCATTTTTATTATTAAAGGGAAACTTGGCGCATTTTCATATAAAATCGTGTAAACAAAAATGTGGTAGGTAAATTAAGTATTTCAAGGTGTGTTAATACTGTAGTAAATTTTGAATTAGAGCTTGGTACAAAAAGCTAAAACGATGGTTTATTAGAAATAATTATTGATTGTTCAATTAGTTTTTTTCGAGGGAAGGAATTTCACTCAAAGTATGTATCAAATAACAGATGAGGTTGAATTTTTTGTAAACCAAGGCGAAGCCGAGGTTTATAATCAACCGAATTTATTATTTGGTATATGGCGTGTGTCGTTCAAGACTTTTCGTAATCCCATTCCTGACTCAGAGAGGAGTAAAGCTTCAAATTTAAAATAAATCGCAACATCATGAAGTTAATCTTTAACGGGCGGACGCTGTGAAAAATAACTTTTCATCTGTCATTTCAATTCTGTTAAATTCAGATAACAGAATGGGATTACGAAAAATATGAAAAATAATATTGACTTTATTTACTATTACTGCAGTGAAAATTTATGAAAAATTTAGACTTTTTTGTATTTCTGTCAAAAAGGGCGGGTATTATACTAGTTATTGCTGCAAGAATTTTAAAATAGCTTTGGATTGCCACTACTATTACTATTTTTACTTTGAAATTAATCTGGAAGTTATTTAACATACAAGATAAACTTGTATGAATTATTAATTTTATGATTCAGTCAATTTTTTTTATTTAGATAGTTGTATAGTAGAATTAGTTGCGATTTTAAAAGTTGTGCAGAAATTTTAAGATGTATGTACTAGTCTAAAGAAGGCAAAATGACTCAAATTGTCTTATCTGAATGTTTATAGTTTCTGAGATGGAAACAGTGCAACCTCCACTTTAGCGTCGAAAAATTCGTTAAAAAATGCAACATAAAAGCAGTTTTATACTTTTTATATCTTTAATCTATAACTTAATTTTACATCGTAGACAGACTACTGAGATTATTATTAATAACAGAAATGCATAGATCTTTGGTTTTTTAAACTGAACATAGGGCTATGTTGAGTGTTTAAAAAAGTCCCTAAAATAAATTTAAAACAATAATATGAACCTCACGCACACACATATTTAGAATCTTAATTTTTTCAAAAATGTTATAGGTACTAGTGTGATTCATACATTTTATTTCTTTAAGTTCACATACGGAAATAATTGACTAATTATAATGGACACCAGATGACTAATTTACTATCAGCGGTCAAAGTTTTTCAAACAAAATAAGCGATAATATATGCGATAATTGTAGTATAAACCAACTCTGTTCATTAGTTGCGTGTTTTCCATTCTATTGTGTTTAATATAATCCTCTTCGAGTGCTCTCATGTTGTTGCAAAACAAGGTGCACATAAAACAATAGAATTCAATCGATAAGTGTTTTATCATGTATTGTATCATTTTGCAGAAAAGAATGCCTTACTGTACACCCACTTGCCGAAAATGGAGCGTATTTGGATTCGCTACGTTCTTCCTAGTCCTCGGCGTTGTGATTATCGTTTCTTGGAACGGTTTAGTCCAGTCAATTAAAGATCAGGTGAAGATAATTTATTTCCTCCTTTTACTCGAGTCCTGAACTTCATCCTTTTGAATGTCTAGATGGTTACCGAAAATAGATTTATTCTTCACAATCACAATGTTTTCTAAGATTCGTGTTTAAAAATTTAGAGATATGAAAATTTTGAAATTTTTAATTGGCTTGAGAGATTGTTAATTAAATACGAAATTAGCTTTCTTGGACATACATATTTATAGAAATTCGCTAAAGTTTCTCTTTTACATTTTTCAAATGTCAAGAGTTTTATAGTAAAAAAACAACAACTACTTGTTGATACATTTTTTACTGTTAATAATGCTTTGTGTTATGTTATGAAAGTGAAAAAAACACAATTTTACAAAGTTTTTGGCTTTCAGGAACTAAATCTCGGTAGCGATGATACAACGGAATACAAAATGTGGAAAGAAACACCGATTCCGATGTACATTGAGTTTTATTTGTACAATTGGACTAATTCGAAACAAGTTATCGATGCTAAATGGTTGGTGAAACCGTCGTTTGAAGAACACGGTCCTTACACTTACAGCGAAAAACATATTCGTAAAAATGTGATATTTAATAACAATCACACGGTGACTTACATGACTCAGAGAAGTTGGCATTATGTTCCAGAGAAATCTAAAGGGTCTTTAGATGACGTAATTACGACACTGAATCCGATTTTAGTTGTAAGTTTTTGTAACAACGGAAACTTTGGTTAGGATAGTTTTTCTTACAGACGGTCGGGTCTTTAGTCAAGTATAAACATCCTATAGTAAGAATGGGTGTAAATTTTTTTATCAAAGAAAAAGGCGTTAATATCACTGTGACTAAAACAGCGAGGGAATTTATTTTTGACGGATACGACGATCCCTTGTTGGATTTGTTAAAAAAATTGCATTTAAGGCATATAAATGTACCCTTTGACAGATTTGGATGGTTTTATTCGGTAAGGAAATTTTTCCCATTGATTTTTTTAATTGATTTAAATTACTCTGTATAATAAAGTGTTCTTTTTCTTCTTTGTACGAATGGTCAATATATTATTTTTTGTTTAACAGAGGAATAATTCTGTCGATTACGATGGCATTTACAACATGTATGACGGCACTGATGACATCCAAAAGCTCGGAAAGTTCGCTTGGTGGAATTATAACCATGAAACTGAGTATTTTCCAAATTATTGCGGAGAAGTCAATGGAACAAGCGGGGAATTATGGTATCCAATCCAAAACGACCAATACGCCCAAATTTTTTCACCAGATACGTGCAGGTATAGTCATTTGTATAAAACCCGATTTCCTAGTTTTAACTGTGCTCCTTAGACAACTCTAGTTTTTACCTAGTGAAAACTAGAACTATCTGATAAATTTAGTGAAAACTAAAATTAGCAAAAAAAAATTTTTATTCTAGTTTTGACTAAACATAATTCACGTAAAACTACTTTTTACTTAACTTTACAGTAAATTGTACGTTCGTGAATAATTTATTTCAAACACAAAACACGGGACACGGTGAAACAACTATAGTACCGAGAGATCAAGGTAATTTGTAATCGAGTCATCTTTGGATCTAAAAACGTGTGTCTGTGAAATGTCAAAGTCAAATAAAATGACAAGTCGAAAGGTAAAATGGCATAAACAAAAAGATGATGCTTTTAATAACTAAATTTATGATATTCCTTTAAAAAAACGCTACTATTGTACATACGTCGGCGACTAATTTCAACCCATTTTGCCGTTTTACGACTTGTTATTTTATTTAAAGTTTCACGTGCAGTTAGTTTAAAAACAGACATACGTTTTCGGTTCGAAAGATGACTCGATTACAAATTATCTTGATCTCTCGATATAAGTAATGCGACGTTTACTTGAGCACAAAACGGTTTTAACTAATGTACTCCAGTTAAAACTGCTTTGAACTAGTTTTCTGTGAAATTGGTTCGGGATTTCTAGTTTATCAGATAGTTCTAGTTTTCACTAGGTAAAACTCGTATTGCCTAAACAGCACAGTTAAAACTAGTTTTTTCTAGGAAGAACGGGTTTTAACTGAAATCGGGTTTTTACGGTAATATAGGTATACATTGTAATAAAATTTACACCAAATTTCCCAAAGATTTGTCACTAAAGGGTGATTCACGAGGAATAATGAGCCTGACCAAATTTTCGATGCAACCAACATTACAGTTATCGCAAAATAACTTGCGAAGAGTAATGGTGGTTGCATCGAGAATTTGGTCAGGCTCATTATTCCTCGTGAATCAGCTTGTATAATAATATTTACAATTGGAATGAGGCTGCAATAACAATCTTTTAAATAATCGACTTGGAATTTTTTTTCAGTACTTTAACGTTAGTCAGGCAAGGAACAGAGGAATTGCACGGCGTCGTAGGCCACAAATTCGTTGGCGATGAAAAATTATTTGATAACGGAACACGTTACCCGGACATGAAATGTTTCAGTCCTGGGGATGTTTTACCAAGCGGTGTTAGAAACGTGTCGCACTGCAAGTAATTTTCTTAACTTTTCTCAAATTTAGATAACTCCTGTTACGTTTTAGGTTTGGAGCTCCTGCTTTTATTTCCTATCCACATTTTTACTTAGCTGATCCGTACTATAGAGAAGCTATCACGGGAATGACTCCCAACAAAACCGAGCACGAATTATTCATTTCGATTGAACCTGAAACCGGAATTCCATTACATGCTAGAGTAGCAGCGCAGATTAATCTTCATCTTGAAAAAATCGACAGAATAACGTAATTTATTTGTAAATTGAATTGAATTTTCAGTAACAGTGTTTTACAGATTATTGGAACAGGTTAGGAAAGAATATTTGATTCCAGCTTTGTGGTTCAAACAGTATGCCGTTTTGAGCGAAGATTTGGCAAATCAAGCCAAGATGCTTCTTATTCTTCCTTCTATTGGCCAGTATACAGGATTTGGGATTATTGGATTGGGATGTCTTCTTTTCATCATTTTTGGTTTTATTACGTGGAATAACTATAGGAAAGGTAGACAAGAGGAAACACTGTTGAATAATGAAGAATATTAATACTCTGCTTTCTTCTTAATAGCCAGTCATAAAATTGGAAATTATTAAGCAATACTTGTAAATATTTAACATTGCTGTGATATGTACTTGACCATTTTATATATTTTAAGACTAGTGTGGGCATTGTTTACACAATCTGTAAAATGATGTATATATTAGTACCTAATCTGAATGAATATATTATTTTTAGCCACCAAAAATGTTGACCATGGAAACAGTAGTTTAAAAATTCTCTTTTATTTTTTTTGTCATACAAAACTATTAATCCAAATTAAACCGACGTGAGTAGCGTGAGCTTCTCATTAAGTTGCAGTTGTGTTTTAATAAGCTGAGACAACGTAATCACCATTAGCAAGTCTTTAACGTTACTGTTAAACATTTCTGAAAACTGTTCGTTATTCATATGCGGCACGGAATTGATCAAATCAAGCAGTGACCTTCCTACTGCATTATTCGGTTGAACCTTTCCAGCCAAAACATCTTCTACATATTGTAGAACTTGCTCCAAAAGTACTCCCATTTTTGATCCAGCTTCAGACACCTAACAATCACAGATGAATGTATTTTCTTTAAAGTAAATAAAAACAAACCTGGGCCAAATCCATCAATGGATGGACGTTCCGAGATCTGCCTCCTCCCGCCCCCAATGTTTTTTGACACAGTTGCAACCCAAAGACCTCAGGATCGTAACAAGTAACATCAATGGGGATTGATGTAAACATACAGCCTTGTTTTCCATTGGGAACGCCCAGAGATACGCACACGTACGCTTTCAGACCCATGCGACCCCCTTGAAGACTTGAATCGAGGGTCACGTGTACTGGGTTGTTGCATTCGCGAGCATAGTATTCATGAATGACGGAACTGTGATTGGTGACTTCGTGACCTGTGGCCCACCAACCGACAATGCTTTCGTTGGAATTTACGCGACGGTTTAAGTCGTGGACATCCATGGCGTAATTCAACTCGGCTTCGACTTGGTCAACGGTCTCCTTGTGAGGGACGCAAAAGCAGTTTATTACCTCCACGATGCCTTTATCGACATTCCCTATAAATTGTTAATACGATAAGCAGAGTAGTTTGAAACTTTCACAAGTTTAAATACAAAGATTTGACATTTGTAGGTTAGGCAGCTGTCACATGTCACAATACATTTGAAACTTCACAAGTAACGAAAAATTCTATCACATACCCAAGAGTGTCCCAATGACTCGATGCGAATCTGCATTTCTCCTTTCGTAGGCGTCTACAATTTGGAAAAGAACCACCGGATGGATTTTAACTTGTAAGTTGAGCGCCATTTTGCCCACAAAAGTCACTAAAAGTCATGCGCAATTCCCTAAATTTACATGTGTGCCAACCCAACACCACGAAAAGTGTCTAGTTTGCATTCAAATCTGCGAAAATTCGTGTTTTGTTTCATCGATAAATCCTCAAAATTCCGTCGAAATTGATCGGGTTTTCGCACGTTTCTCTAAAAATTGTTCGTCGTTTCGAATGGTACGGTGTTTTTGTACTTGGAAAGTGCAATAGTGTCGAAATCGGCACGTCCAAGTTTGACTTTTAGTATTGATGGCTCGTATCAAAATGGTTTCGCGGCCCACCACTGGCTGTGTATATGCGTTGTTTTGGTATATCCGCAATGCAGGCGTGCCGGATTTATACCATTTCGTAGCGTGTGCCTGTTGGATTAATCTGGATAAAACTTAGAAGGTGGGTGCAAATTTTTCACAAAAATTCGAGTGCACCCCTCCCCGCCTTTTAGCCAATTCAAATTCGATTGTTTATTATTATTGACAAGCGGCTGCTTGATTGTCACACTTTTAGGTTTCTCGCAGTTTTCTCCGATTTTTTTCAAAAATCAGAGAAATTTAAAAGGGTCACCTTCAATAATCGCGAAATTGAAACATGTCCCGCTGTTCCTAACCAAAAATAACCACAAAATTGTGGCAAAAAATCCAGAGGTCAAACACCTCAATTCCCGTCAATATTATCAATGCTGAAAGGATCTTTTCGGGTTTTAGGACACTACAGCGATGGACAGCGATACTTCAGATGACACTTCTGATTATTCAACTGAGTCCTCAGATGATGATGGAATGGAAACAGCTGAAATATATGGTACTAAATTACAATTACCTCAAGGTCTTTGCGAACGAAAAGACATTTTTCTATCAGTTCTGTCCAGTGAAACTTGGAATTCATTGTCGGATGATAACAAAGAACATTTGCAAACTTTTCTGCCAAATTTTCCGGAAAACGATGAAGAAGAAAAGAATAAAACGCTGGAAAAACTGTTTAGTTGTGACACTTTCCGTTTCAATAATCCATTAGAGAAGTTCCATGAAGATCTCAAAGATGGGTATTTTCGTCCAGACATTGCAAATATGCGGCGAATTATAAAGAAAGCACAAAAGAAAGAAGCGATGTATAGGTATAAAAAATTCCGAGAGAAATTAAAGCAGGATGTGATAGAATCTCAACAAAAGTTACTCAATCAAATCAATAATCTCCCACCTGGTGTAGAACCCAAAATTGAGAAAATCCAAGATCCTAATTTAAATTATATCGTTCATCGAACAAAACGACGATATTATCAGATTTTAGCTTCAATTCAAGCTAAAACGCAAGATAATTACTGTTCACCTGACGAGAATTACCCAGAAGGGCCCCCTGTCCCTCTCTCTCGAAAACAACGCCGTCATCTCAACAGTATCCGAAATAACTACGCATCAACTTCAGATATTTTCATGTCAACTATGTCAACAAAAGCCAACGGTTTAGATTTAGAAAAATTCATAACTCCATTACGTAATCCCTTCTACATCACCGATGAGACTTACAAGACACTCATTTCGCAACACAAACGACGGAAATTAGAACGAATCGACGATCCCGAATATAACACTAAAGGTATAACATTATCAGACATTGTAAATAGGACCCAGTTGCCTTATATTAAAAATCTAACTTTGACTCCAAAACATCACACTGACAATAAATTAGTGAAAAAGAAAAGGAAGGAAGTTAGATTAAGTACACAATCACACAGCTCAAATTCCGACAACGAGTCAGATTCGGATTCTTACGTGGACGCGGTGACTGTTAATCATGCAAAAAAGGTTAAAACGAACCGAAATCTAAAAAGTGCAAGTAAAAATATTAAAAATGAGGTTAAGACGGAACTGTTCACGCCCCCTAAACCCGACACGCCTACTACGACTACCAACAAACCCATCCCCTTCTCCCAGTATGGTAAGATCACTCCCGTCACCATTTCCGATCTGGAAGGTATCGATATGATGGAAATTCCCATCGATTTGGACAATTCCAACATCGATATTTTGGAATTGAACAACAAACCGGAATTGATGCAAGAAACTCACTCAAATTTCCTGTCCCTCATTCGCGATATCATCTGTTCGACTAACGAGCATAGAATGAATCTGTCGACACTGGAAGAACGGCTGAAATCCTGGCAGGAGAACCCAATAAGTCCATTGAACGATTGGTACAGTTTGGTGGACAATTGGGTGAATTTGCTCAAAAGTGCTGTGAATTTTTTATGTGGGAATTCCCTTGAACAACCTGATGATTTTGTACCATACATGGAGTATAAAATTCCTCTAGATATGTACCAGTGGATAGGGGCGGGTCGTGATTCGGACGCACTGTTAGCACCTTTGTGTACTTACTGGTTGGAGCACAGAAGCGAGGCCAAGAGCAATAAGGAGAAAGATAAGGAAGAAATCGACGTGGAAGTTTCTGATAGGTCGCAGACTCCGCCTCCTCCTCGGTGTCCCACCAATTGGACGGTAAGGAAGGCGACATCTGAGGAAATCAAGGAGTTTCGGGAACAAGAACGCAAACGATATGATAATCCACATAAAGCGTTCACTTATCGTTGTAATGGTTACGAAAGTGTAGTGGGGCCTTTAAAAGGCATTTATAACGCTTCAGTTGGTAATACTAAAGCTAGAGGTCACACGATGTTGAATGCAGATCGGCCAAATTTTGTTACTATTTTATCACTAGTGAGAGATGCGACAGCTAGATTACCCAATGGGGAAGGTACCAGAGGTGATATATGCGAATTGTTGAAAAGTTCGCAATATATTTCAAGTACTGCCCCTGATAATGTCTTACAATCAGTTGTAAGTGGGGCTTTGGATAGAATGCATACACAATTTGACCCTTGCGTTAAATACGATCCTAAAAGAAAAATTTGGATTTATTTACACAGAAACCGGACCGAAGAAGATTTCGAACGGATACATCAACAATATCAAGGAGTGAATAAATCGAAAAAAGCGACAAGTAAAAAACCTAAACCTAAACCCAAAAGTGATAAAGTCGCAAATAAGGTTACCAAGAGCGACGACAAACCTAAAGGTGTGACTAAAGTAAAGAGTGGGGATAGTGGTACGTCCAAAGCCAATTCCCTCCTTATTTCAAATCAGGAAAAAATGCCCACTTCAGACGAGAAAGAAATAAACGAAGCGTTGCAAGCTATCGTCCAAAATCGCGTTTCTTCGTCCAGTCCTATCATCAAACAAACACCCCCGAAACCTAAAGGATTAGTCAAAATTATCTCTCCAACTCAGGGTAAGTCGCTGATAATTCCGTCGAGTAAACAAGAACGTGCCACGCCTCCTAAACAAATCGTCGCCCAACAACTAATTCAAACCATCCAAGCGAAACAAAAACAACAAAGTGACGCTGAAAAAATCGAGCTAAAAACTACACAACCTCAACAATTTATTCAAAGCATTACTCCTCAGCAACTACAAGCTATCAAGAATGTCACGCTGGTGAGGGAGCCGAAGTTGGGAGGAGCTCTGCCCGAACAGATACACATCAAAACGCAGGCGACGCTAACGCCAGCTCAACAACAGCAGATTTTGCAAACCATCAAGCAGAAGATTTTGCCACAAGCTACAGTTTTAAATTCGCAACAGCAGCAGCAACAGCAGATCGTTTTGAAACAGAAAGGGTTGCAGAAACAAACGCAACAGCAGGTTAAAGTCGGGATTGGTAAGTTATGAGCAATTGAATAAGAGTGATTTTATGTGGTTGTTTTCGGTAGAAGGAACGAAGAGTTTGGGGTCGACACAGAGTCCAGTCGTGGCTAAGGTTCTGACGAATGCTGCGGGACAAGTGATTTCGGTGGAGAGTTTGTTGGCGCATCAGAAACAACATGGGTCGTTACCACAAGGTAATTGAAATATATTTGTCAATTTGAGTTGTTGGTTTTGCAATATAGGTTTTGTTCCAGGTACTACATTGCGCGTTTCTGGTACCAAAGGCGGCCCTACGAACATAATTCAACTGACCGGTACGTCAAAACAAAATCCGATCGCTCAATTCGCTGTAGGATCACAAAACAACATAATATTAACGAGTCAACCTAAACTCGTAATGGCTAGTTCGTCCACAACCACCACAACGACAACAACAACATGTCCTTCAACCCTCACTACGACTATCACAACTACAACAACAAAACCAGTGGCGCGCGTTACCACCAACAAAACCCAACAACAAGCTATCAGTGCTACTAAATTTCCGCCGAAAATTGCCCAACAATTAATCAACGCTAAATTGATAACGACAGACGGTCAAAAAGTCGTCCAACCGAAAATATTTATGAGTCAACAGAACCAAGTCAAGTTGGCTTCGGCCAAAAACATTTCTTTAACGTCAAAACCTATGACGTTAGCCGCAAATGCAAACACGATTCGGATGGTAAATGCTGCCAACTTAAATTTAACGCATATAGGTGGCAAGCCTGTACTGTTGGCGAGTAAAGGCACGACGATACAAAACATACAAGGGCAAAATGTAATACTTCAGACACAACCGAACACCAGTGGAGGCTCGTTGGTATTACAGAACGCTGTAAAAGCTATACCGACGACGCAGAATAATCCAAATATAAACATAATCAATCAACAGAATGTAGTTCTGGGGCCTCAGCTGAAGATGCAGACGCCACAACAGGTGGTTTTCAGTTCAGGGGTGAAAAGTGTCACCACTCAAGGACATATCGTGTTGGAGGGACACCCAGTGCGGTTACAGACGAGTACGGCGACCAACACTCAAAGGGTAGTACTGGCGAGTCAAGGGCAAGGTGGGCAGATTGTGGCACAGCAGATTTTGTTACCGGCGGGGTTTCAAGGGACTGCTATCAATATCAAAGCGTTACAAGGGGTAAAAGTTATACCCTTAGCTCAGGCACATGGACAAGGCCGAGGTGAGTCATTGTCGCAAAAAAGTGAAAAGATGCCAAAAATTTGCTTTCTAGGTGTTCAGGGGCGTCAAGTTTTCGCACGTGTCATGAGTCCAACTGTGGTTAAAGCCACGACAAGCACAGCTGACAAAAGCGCAGATCCTACAATAACGTCAGCAGATATGTAAATAGGTTTTAGTTAAATTTATCATGAACTAGTGAATGTATTTTTTTTAATTTTGAAGAAAACTCATGAAAACTTTGTCACATCATTGGTTGTAAGATTTCCTTTTTTATTTATTTATGGAATTTATTGGTTTTTGTGATGTAAATAGTTAAATACTGTAATAGTCGTCATTAGGTATTTGTTTAATTTATGAGTGTGTAGTGCAAGTCTACAAATACTACTTAATAAACTTAGTTTATCTTTTTATAAATGGTGTTTTTATCAAAATATGATTACAAGACTAAAACAAGTCTTTTTTGAAAGTAAGTATTTTTAAAAGTGACACATTTAGTTTACTGAGACTGTCACGTCGTGTATCAAATTCTAGTGAATAAATGTCTTTTCCATTGTTCCATGTTATGTTATAAATAACATTCAACAACTTACAATCGTTAAGCTGTTAACTACACACAGGGTTGTTATAGCTGTTAACACAACGAGTGCTCGTAGATTTTAAGATCTAAGTTTGCTATAATTCATAACATCCGTGGTTTGTTCAATCGTTTATCAGTTTCTCTTCATTTTTGAACTGATAAGCTAAAATAAAGGAGCATCAAAAACTTCCTCGGTCGTTATGGCCTTCTTAACAGTCCTGATAAATACGTAAACAACTATAATCGCTTGTAGGATAAGTGCAAAAAGTGTTTTGCAGGATTTCTCCACAGATAAACGAAAGGTGGTTTTCTTGGATTCAGTGCGAAATGAATAGAATTCTTTCATGCGCCTGCGGGTTATGCAACTAAGGTTACTCTTGTCCCGTCTCTTTCTTGCGATGGTACGTCCCATATGGCCCATCCCTGTCTAACCCATTCCACCTGCCATCTCCTGGGATGGACCAAAGAAACTGGTCTCGTGTCTCGTCTTCGTCGACCGGAATCAACACAAAACATAAGTTGCGTTTGTTTCGGACGCTTCACAAACTTGCGCGCTCGCCGTAAACTGGTGTACAGAAGTCAATTAATCAACAGCAAACTTTTAATAACATAAAAGTGTACCCAAAAATAATGTAGAGTGTATATTTGGTGAAAAAAAGACTCAAAACTCCCCATTTCCTCGAAGTACCACCGCATTTCAGCTTCAAAGGTAAGGTTAACTCAATGTTTTTGTTTTGTTTTTGATTGTGTACCGCATTCCACTGGCTTGAAAACTTTTCGATGACTATTTGAGATATAATTAGAAAACAAATATTAGGTGGAAGTTCATCACGTAAGAACAAGTTTATGTACCTGTACTATTTTATTATTTAGTAAGAGTGAGGTTGTTGGTAGCAGGAATTTGAACCGGAACCAAGATTATTAAAACTTTGAGGGGTGCAGTCGCGCTCACAAATTGCTCTCAAAGGGTCACACAGGTGGGGGGTAAACCCCAGAAGGGCCACAAGCAATAAGTTTTAATTTAATTCAATTTGAAATAATTCAATTATCACGGTTGCTAAGCAACGTTTTTTCCAAGCCAATCAAATCACACGATTTTAGATTTATTAACCCCAAATTAATTAATTATAAATTTCACGACTAAGGTCAATTTTTCGCGTTGCACAAGTACTTAAACTTTGTTGATGTAATTTTTTATGTCTGTATTTGGCGCCGCGAATGAACCGTGACGTTTTACACACAATCCTATAATTTTTCCTTGTAGGTTTTGGCCAAAAAAGGTGGTAAAAGTTGCTAACAGGTTGTTAGTAGTTGACGCCAACATCAAGGTGACGGTTATTTCTGTAGGTGGTTTAAATTATATGCAATTTCTACCTAATCATGTGATGCAATTCGTGATAACAGTAAAAAAAAATCTTTTTGGGTTGTAGCATATGGTCGTTGAAATAATCGAGTAAAGTTAATTACGAGTTAATTACGTTATTGTCGAGTACCTATTAAAATTGCACCGCCCATGTTTAACCCAAATAGAAGTAAAGACTTTCGTTTGCTTGAGCAGGCAACAACAATTCCTCACCTAATATGGCTATTGACATTTTCTATGACGTATCCGTTATTTGTTATAAATATAAATTAATTAATTAACAATATAAATTCCTGGGGCGTACATACGGCGTGTTAGTGTGTATTTAGTTATAGTTTAGATAGCATTTTGAAATTATATTCCTGAGCGTTGTCAATATTTGTATTTCTCACAGGAGATGATCTTAATTGTATGAACAAATAGATAGCTGTTACATAAGCAGTTCTAGTTTAAAGTGACCAAAAAATCGATTTCCTCCAGTAACGAGCCTGAACAAGTTCCCACAATTTGTCAACCATTACAAACGAAACCGAAACTATGAAATCCTTCTTGTATGGTTAAATCAGCTTAAAATACTCACGGTTTAATAACTCACAACAGCCATAACAAAACCCCCGACCCAAATGTTTTGAAAGAAAGATTAAGATTCCAACCAACATTTTCCAGTCGGTGATTATTTTGTTAAGTAATTAGGTGCAAGAATCATTTTCCTGGAAGAATTCTTCAAGAGTTCAACAATGAAATGTTGTTGAACAGTCTTTAAACTAATTGCACACCGGGTTTCGTGATTTGTTTCATAAAATCGTAAATGATTGTTCCTTTTTCAATGCGCCAGGTGTTCTTTATGGTACCTTTTGTTGGTACACTAGACAAAATAACCATACAGTGAGAATTAACTACACCTGTTTTATTTATAACACATTTCTAAATATTACAAGTGTTGAAGAACTGTGTTTCAATCTTCTACAACTAAAAGAAATACTGAAGCTATTATTTACTAATGAAAATCGGACCCTCATCAATCTTTTATAATTTATCAAAACCAACTTTTGACATCCGAAGATAAGTGCAGACCGTTCTCAAACTTTCTTCAAGGGACACTAATTGGTTCAACATATTCTTTTTGTTTCTGATAGGAATTCAGTTCTTGTAATGTTAACGATGCTCTGACAAACAGCGTGCAGTCCAATAAGCTTGACCTTTGATGTTTAGATCGTAGAAAATTCTCTATCAATAAATAAACACCATGCATTTCTTGTCTAAAATTAGAAAACGATAACGAATTATTCAAAAATGTGAAAGCTATAAAACCAGAAGAAAAGACATGTAGGAGGCAGTCAGTAGTCAAAGTTTCTTTTTGCGGTATCGCGTGCCTTAGATCTCACTGGCCTTCCTTACGACAGCTGTCACCGGTTAACGTCCTTCCCATTTACCTGCTGATCTTATGTCCATGGACTTTTTATATCCCACAGAACAGGTTCATTCGAGGGGTGCACAAACCGTGAACCTCTCTTGCCTCGCACTGAACTGATTAAAACACCAAGACCCATGATCCCAAAAAGTACCCTTTTTTCAGTATGATTACGAGAACCATTTCGAAGCTAACTGAAGAGAAAGAAAGTATGATTTATTTATAAAAAAGATTAACTATTTTGTTAAGTTAAGCCTAATTTTGAAAAATTATTCAAAGGGATAACTGGATATGTAAAGTTGTGACAAATTATAAAAAAAGACTCACATTGTACCGAACAAATAGTAGGTAGGTAAGAAGCACCAAAGAGAACACAATTATTAAAAACAGAAACACGTTAAAAGTTTGCAAATCTTTCATGTTTGGCAATAAGAAAATTTTGAATAATAAAAGTGAGTTGAAGTTTTACATGTCATGTGAGGTAAAAGGTGTTTTTCTGTAAACGTCTTTGATGTTGGCGTCGTTTTAGACCGCTGTCTCCAGCGGACATCCCAATGGAGTTAGACCATATAAGACAATACCCTTGACTGCATCTAATAAAAAATCTGCTTATATAAAATAAAGGTAATGGTCTTGAAGTAGGCGATATCCGTGGGCGTTTCTACATAATAGGTGTGCAATGGCCGCTTTACATTATGATAGTGAAGCTAAGAATTCTGTGTGATTTCGATAGAGAAATAAAATTGCCATAAGCGATAGATTTCTCGTAAATCATCTTGTTGCCCACGAGATTCAAGACCAAATTGGTTCCCGAGATGTGGTTCTCGATTAATCTAAGACAGTACGAAAATGCTGAAATAATTAATAAATGTGTGTCGGCATCAGAGACCACCCAATTGTCTTAAAAATAGGCCGAAAATTTGATACATCTGTTCTTTAGTGTGCAAATAAACAAACACGATAGTCGATAAATTTGTAACTCGGAAGTGACTGAAATGTCTATTATTATGGTTGGCGACAGTCACCCTAAAGTGTGAAAGAAGCGAAAATATGCACGGTATAATGTGTTACTGTATTTTATGAATGGGCCCGTTACAATTTATCTTATCGCAATAATAATATTGTTATTTATATGGGCCACGGAATATTTTATGTTACACGAAAAGAAGTTTTTGGGTCATGATAAAAAAAGAAATTATTTTAGATTTGTTTTCTTTTTACCAAATCCATCCCAAACTAATGTATCCGATTACTAAGCCTGGCTTATTTTCTTATTTGAATGTCTCGAAATCAAGATACCTAACAACCTTTACGACTTTGCAAATTTCAAGGAGGAAAACACCTTAATTAAGAACTCTAAAATTAAAATAACTTATTTTCGGCGGAATTATTTCAATCACAGAGTCCAAAGTTTATTAGTTTGAGTGTCGGGAAAGACACACGAAATTGATTCAAAGGCTCAACTATCAGTCATTTATTTCAAAATTGTTAAATTACAATAACTTTATATTTTTAGAGAAAAAATTTTAATTTAATAGCTGCGGCTAAAGTTTGTTTTGGTTCTCACAAAAACAAATAATTTTGAGTTAATATTTCAATGTTGAAACTGTTGGAAACATGTCCTTGTCTTTCAATGGGTTTGATTTAAAATAGATATTAAAAAAATGTACAATCTACGAGTTGGCCAAACGGTGGCTAAACTGATTAGATCGACACGTGTGAAATTTGAATAGTAAAATATTTACAAAGTAGTATTTGTCTGTAGTCAACACATCGAAAAATTGGGGAATTTTATTAAAATTGATTCTCACCCCGAAAACTTCGTGAAAAAGTTTTATGACACTCTTCAAACATTTAGGACATTTTTGTGTCAACAATCTAATCCTGATTTCACTCATTTTTAAGCACCATTACTTAGATGTACTAGTTGGCAAACGAAAATCAACGTGTGTTGGAGAGGTCCCAAGATATTTCGCGAAACTTTAATTGTTTTAAATGTGGTCTTCTGTCTACTAATTGCGAATTTTTGAGACGTGATAAAGTGTTCTTACTTGTTCCCAAACTACGTGTTATTTATTTTCGAAACGTAGCAAGCCCACGCAAGTGTTTCAAACAAATAAAATTTTTGATAGATAAATCATTTAGAGAAGAATTTGTGGAGTTTATTAACATTGTGGTTGGATTGGCTAATACACTTTGAAATGCGTTTGTAATAGAGTTACCTATAATTTATAATTTCGGTTTGAGCTGTCGGGTTTTTTTAATTGAATGTTTTGTAAAAATCTGATAAATCATGATGTTGGAAGAGGACCAAGCTGTTTTATGAATGAAATGTCTAATTCTGATTCAATGTGTATATTATGCGAATTTTTTTCCAAATTGTTGGTAAATAAATGGGTTTCTAAAATAAGATCAAACAAGTGCGAGTGTGACAAGAAACATTATCAAAATACCAAACAAATAAATCAGGTGAAACAAATAAATAAAATAAATCTACTCTACATTGTGGTTTTATCTATTTTTTTAATGAAATTAATTATTGATCGTCGAAAACAGGTGCCCACGTAGGGTGTGACACTGTGACAGTCGTCGTGAAAAAGTTTGGCGCCAGGTTCTAATACAAGAAGAATGTTTTAAAAAATTATACAAACGAGTTATCCAAAATTGACTAATAAGGAATTGGCCGACAAGGAATTTACATTTGCATCTTTTATCGTTTTTAATTCCATAAATGACTGAAACCATGTCTATTTTAAATTTAGATAAACATCATCGAATCCAATTAGAAACGGTTCAGTTTCAGGTTTTTCTGGACAAATTCCTAAAAATGTCGGAGGCGCTCGAAATGACATTAACATAATTTCAAGATAACGCTGCCATTTTTAGCTGACCCATAAAAAATAATGAAAATATTTCCGCCTTTTTCTTGTAATTAGGACATGACTGGGGGCCATTAACCAAAACGGTCTGTGCCAAGAATATTTTCATTTTATGGGGAATTTAGGATGGGCGGAAATTCGAGTTCGGAGTGACACTTCCCGAGATTCAATTCGTTCAAGTTTTGGTTATTTTATTATCATAACTGAAGCTTTCGAAAAGCCCAGCGGAGATTTATAGTATGTTGAAAGTAAAGTGTGCTTATGTAAAGTGTGTAATAATTTTAAAGAACAATATTTGCTACTTAAACATATGTAATATATTCTTTCGGTTTGTTTTCTTTGAAGTGGGCTTTTGCAATGGAAAATAAACTTGTTCCTCTTTAATGATTTGATAAAAAAATTATTTTTTAATTTGCAAACTCCATAAATAATGAGAACGCTCCTTAGAATGAGTAAGACAGCTCGAATGTGCATCAACCACATTCCGAAAATTTTTTCTCTCGTCCGACTTGCTCTTCATGGTTCTTAATATTTTTTTAAAAGACAAGATTAAGAGAACTTGTTTAATATTAAAAATTACTTAAGATGACCGCTAGATTTATCATTTTTGTTTCACTGACGGCCTTTGATTAATTTAATTATTTTCCGTTAATCGAAAAAAATTAATTATTTTTTACAAGCATCAATGATGGACTTTGCCATACTATTTCGTAACAAAGCCATTACGAACTGGTAGCAAAACGACAATTAGCAATTATCGTCAAATAATACTTATTTAAAAGTGATTTGAATGCAAAATTAGAGTCAACATTCACCGGGAGACAAATTTAAATTGGTTCAACTATTATAATGCAAAAGATCTAGTTTTTTTACCGCGGACATTATGCAAATGACAGTGATAGAAATGCATGTGACTGGATTTGAGTTGCGTGCCATTCCTCTGGCGCCCACCTCGACAGAGCTTCCAAGAGGAATTTAGAAATAAACTGTATTTATAAATATGCGACGAGGTACTACACATACACACGCAACTTACACATTCAACCATAATTCTGAAATGACTCGATGATTGAAATATAAACTTTTTTGCAAATATTTATCAAGCGAACAAATGGTGCTAAAATAATAAGCTTACAAGTTAACTGTACTTTTTTATTTGCTGAATGGCTTTCACTGACCAAAAATTAACGGATGCTCTTCAAACATTCATTAAAGAAAAGCAATAAAGCGGCCAATGTAAATAAAATTCCAAATAGATTTCGGGCTTGAACTTTTCCATATTTGAATGGAGCAAAATTCTCACACCGGAATAAACTACGAATTAGTAATGGTCACAGTAGATTGTATACACTTTCATTTGCATTTCTTTAATTCTCCAGATTATGGGCAAAATACTCATCAGATTATATCGCTTTGGAGGTAATGAAATGGTAAATTTATGCATAGGATGTCTTATCCTTTGCCAGTAAACGTAAAATTTTTCTAAAATCGTTGATTTTTAAATAAGTTATAAATTAGAAATGGTGATTGATTGAGAAAACTGCGTTGTGAATTTCTAAAATTTCGGCATAATTTTGTGGTCAATTAGATTTTTTCCGGATTTTAGGCGTGTTCAAAAATGTCTATCACCCCATCGAGCGTGAAATTATAATAGAAAGGACGGCGAATCGTCTCAGCATCAGCCACCGGATTTAATGAATGTGAAATAATTCTAATTCTCGAAATTTAATGACTTGATAGGCATCTCATGATTAGTGGATTCAGTTAAATGCGTATAAATCAATAGATCCAAGTCCAGTTATTCGTTCAAAGCAACGAAAATGATTTTGTTCTTCAAGTTATAAAATCATTTATTGCGCTTCCTGTTATAAATTTTTCTGGCACGATAAAAATAAGTCTTGATCTGTAGCGAATGGTAAGTGTTTGAATTTTAAACCACCGCGTCATTATCATTATTTACTCGTTAAGGGAAGACGAGTCTCGTGGACTGTTACTAATTATTTGATCATAATGGGAAAAAATGTGAGGCAAGTTACACCTGGTAATATTCAAATTTCCCACGCCTTGTTTGGAATAAAACGCTTGTCGGCCCTTTAAGGTTGTGTCCACTCCCATGACTCGGAAAAAGAGCTGCACTTAACGTCAATTTGAGTTTTTTTTTGGGGCCTGAAGTGTTCGGAAGACGGACGCAATATAAAAGTGAGAATTCCATCGGCGCCACTATATCGAGATAGCAGTCAGACCTTAGTTTATAGCACCAAGATCTTGGTACCGGCCCTGAAGAATGCAGAATACACTCTCGGAGTCCGAGGCCTTTACAAGCCGCAACGGACTGTACGGTGGTTGGTTGGCTCTGCTTCTTGAAATTTATGTTATTACCATCAGCTACTATTTTTTTTCTCAAACTTGACTAATTCCCCGTGTTTTTTCAGAGACGTACAAGATGACTGATTGAGAACGCTACAAATTTCCCTTGGATAAGGTATGTTGAGATTTATTGTCACGAAATCTTTTAAACGCTCATTTATCTCCTTTCCATCTCATAATGATCGTGTTTATTTACGTCCGCGGTATTTATAGGTATCACATTTTGTCACGAGCTCACATGGCATTCGGCTTAAATAATGCACGAAAAATTTCTACAAGCAGGGGATTAGTAACCAATTTTTATCATTAAAAATCTGCGTAGGTACATAAAATGAGACAAATTTAACAATTTTCACAATTTTCAAAAAACAAGCATTTAATTTATTACTGATGTTTGAAAAATTACGGGTTGATGAGGGAGTTTTATTTCAGCAATTATTGAATATTTTTTAAGACGATAAGGTATAAAGAATTTGCGGAATTGAAGACAAAATTTGAAATAAGACTAAAAAGATAAAAAGTTTGATTTGAAAACAATGAATAATAAAAATCAGTTATACTTAGTAAAACTTTTTTGCAGAGGAAAACCTATAAATATTCAAAGTAAAAGAAAGTGAAATATTGTATGGTCTGTTTTTCATTCTCTAAATTTTAGTAAGAAATTGACGAAAATTCAAAATGAACATGATTGAGAAAGAACTCAATTACGTTAGTGTCTGGTTGCACCATTTTTAAGAAACGAGCTGAAATAAAAAGTTTGAAACTAAAGCTAAAGAGGAATTTAGAAAATGCATTAACTTCGAGCTTATTTCAATAAAGTTCAAAAAAATTATTGCCAATCTTCATACCTGCTTGTATCTTTTACAAAATAACTTCGTCCTGTATAGACACCCTTAAAGTATTTGTACTAAGATGCAACAGACAAACAAAATTTCTAAAAGTCAAAATTTTGACTTACGTATTCATAATTTTTTAACAAAATTTCTAGGAACAAAAAAAAAGTGTTTATGAAGATAAGCTGCTACCATTTTTTTCACCAAAATTTTGAGTTGGTGATTTCCATTAGAAAAAAAAGACTTAAGTAACTACAGTACAGCTTTTTTAATCCAACTACGCTTTTATCTTTTCTAAAATAGTTTCGTATACACGGTGATATCTGCATTTTTTAGTGTCACTGTCAATTCTAATAATAATTGTTTTCAAACAAATTCTTTGCTACTCCTTTGTTTTCCTCGACTACTTTATGCAACAATTTTCAGTATTTTTACAGAAACTACAAATACAACTGATACAAGCAAAAAAAATATGACGCAATCTTAGCGAAATAACTTTTTTTTAATTTTTTTGTCAAAATCGAATGTACGTTATAAGTTTTTGAGTTATAACTTAAATTAATTAAGATGATTCAGACATAATCTATTGAAAAGTTTCGGTTTTTATTTCGCTATCCTATTTATACCGGGTGTCCGGTCTCAAATTCGAATATAAGGAAATAATGTTGATTGTTGAATGCGATTTTTAAGTATTTTGCCAATTTCTTTGATAATAAAATACCTAAACAGGTATCTTAAGTAATCAAAAATTTAATTTTTTATAAAAACTACAAAAAGTAATAAGTAATAAGAAAATTAAATACGTTTTGACCATAGAAGCTCTTTTTGCATTGGAATACACAATTATTCATTTAAATCCAAATAAATTGGACTTGATGTTTTTGACAACAAGTGCCTACCGCATGTACTTATTTCTCGTATTGATAAATTTGATAATTATGTTTTAAAATAAAAATACAATTTATATTCTTATTTTTGGAATCATTTGACGCGAAATTATTTCGTCTTTAGATAGGCACTATCACCTTACTTGTTGGGTGTATTGGCGAGCAGAATTCAGCAAAAATAGACAATACCATCCCTATGTTCGTGATTAAGACCGGACACCCGGTATAATAGATAATAATAATAATATCTCGTGCTATAGCTGTCGTCACTTCTGTCACTTTTCACAATGTTTTTTCCGTATGAAATAGTGGAACTTTCTGGCTCAAAATTTGTCAGTAGGGTTCAGTTGTAAGATTCTTTTTACACAGAAATAAAATATTTCTGACCTATTTCACATTTAAAAACGCAATTGCAACATTGCCAGTGTGGAGATAGCAATGGCACGAGAAGATATACACTTCTATTTTTACAGTAATGCCTCTAGTATTACCGCAGTTTTCTGCATTTCAGTACAAAAAGAAAAATTCTTCTCAAATATGACCATATTAACTGAATGATCCTGTATAACAGGAATTTTCCTGTAGTGTTTTTTTTTAATATGTATTACTGAAATGCGACTTGCCATAATTTAAACAAATTGAAATCAAATATATAATTTGTCTTAGATTTTAACAGAATTTAATTAAGATTAAGTACAGCAAAGTTATCAAAACCGTTTCAAATATAAGATTTTTGTAAATTTCGTGAATTGATAATAATAGAAATATTAAAAAAAATGTTTGTTTTTGTCATGATGCATTTTGAAAAATGTCGGTCTGAATTTTATCTCGCTACGATGGGCGTACCTGCGAAAGATCCCAATTGCTCATTGTCCAAGGGAAACGATTATGGTAATTAAACCTCCAGACGAAATGCAATCTCGTGTGTGAAATATGGAGAATTTGCGAATGGTCACACCTTCTCCATGTTCACGTCTTGAGATGTCCTTAGGTTTTGACCATCAGGGTCATGGGAAGATTACTTTCGTATACGTGCTAATCTATTTAATACGACCGAGAAAACACTGCATTCAAAACGCGAATCAATTATTGTGTTGTGTTCCAGAGAGATGATACAAGTCATTTCGGTTCAATTATCGCAATTGGCATGTTTAATGAGGAAGATGTATAGACGATTAAGTGGACTAATGATACGTATGTTAATTAGCGGTGTTCGCATAACAGTCGTGCCTTCTGTGGCAATCCTTTCATCTTTTATTGTAGCGCAACGTCAGCCAAAAGCAACACCAAACATTTTGTGCCAACTGTTACGCCTCTTTTATTTTTAATCTAACCAGGAAGATTACTTTGAAATTGACCGATAGACGGGAATTAAGACGAAGTGGAGCGAAATGTATGTACAGCTGCTCCAAAGGCACTCAATCGAGTTGGTGAAGCAATTTTTAAAATAAAAAAAAAATAGTGACCCGATGTCCAGTTTTTTACTCCTCTCTCAAGTTCATTGCCAGTCCAATTTCAATCATTGATTACACTTGTTGCAAAAAATCAATGATCCCACTAATTTTCCGCTCCTTCGTCCAATCTAAACCGTCCATTTCATCTAATTACACGAAGAATTTCGAACACCTGTTTGATACGCCAGCAGACACGCATCAATTTTAGAACCCATCCAGTAATCGTCTGCAACAACCACTACAATACAAACATATTTGTTATGTTCTTGTAGCGAAGAGAGCGTTTCTTCATCTCTTTCTCTCAACAAGGACGTGCTGCCCAAATCTGAATAAAATCATCGTTTGAGGTGATGAATAATGACTGACTCGAGTTGTTTGATTTTTTTTATCATAACAAGGGCTCTTCGAGCTCGCTCTTCTTATTATAGTCGGTCAGGTGGATGCAGTGTGATTTGTCGACGGCTTACGTTTTTCATTCTGCTGCTATTGTTGGATGCAAGACTCGCTAATGGAACATCTTGCACACTAATTTTATTTTCATATAAAGGGATGCGGATTTTAATTTGTTTTCTGGCACCAACTCTTGGTTGGAAATAAAACATTATGACTAAGGATTTTTTTGATCGAAGGACATTCATTCCATTGAAATAAATCAATTATCGTAAGCGGTGACGACTATTTCGTCTCCCGAAATGAAATCAGTGTTTTAATAAGGTGCGGCGTTGTAAAAGAAGCAGAAATATTTGAGAGAAATGTAGATTTTTACTGATGGTAAATCTGAAGAATGTTAATTGAACAGGTTGTGTGTCTGCGATGGCATTATGTAGTTGCAAAAGGGTTTTAAACAGGTTGAGAGATTTTATCTCGGCGATGTTGGCACTAAAAGCAGGTGTCATATTGTAAAATAATAACGCACTGATAAGATTTGGAAGTACCATCTCATTCCACATTCTTTGGATGACTCAAATGTTGTCTTTTTATAATCCTTCTATGACTGTGTTTTAGTCTCTGTATCGCGGTTTTACTTGGGTAACATTATACGAAAGGATGTTAGTCATGGATGGCAAAAAGTTCAAAAGAATTGATACGGATGTGACGATGAAACTAATGTAATGCATCATTTACCAAGGTAATATTTAGCAACATAAATTCACGTATTTATAAAACTGAAAGCTGCAATTATATTGTCTGAGAATGCAACTCGGAGTCTACGAAATATGCATTGATCATTTTCTCTGCACTTTTTATGATATTGTGGCGTCTTTTAATCGCCGCTGGGAGATTTATTACGCTTTGTTCGAGATATTTAATGTTATTAGATTCACAAGAAAAATTCTATTGCCAGGCTAGAGCAAAGAGAAAAATTATCAGCCCCATCAAAGAAATTTTTGAATATCATCTTCCCATATTAGTAATGTAGTCCCACTATCGAAAAATGCTTCGTAGTTACTCAAGTATAGCTACTTTGGGAAATAATTGTGTGATTCAGCAGAAATTGCCTCAGGTCGGAAGACCCCATACCAGCCCAGGTAAATTATTTGCTGTCGACCATTATAAAAAAAGAGATAGAACATGTATAATTTTAACCTCCACACGGCACCTAATCTTCCAAATGATCACTTTTATGCTTCGGAGGAAGTGGCAAACTAGTCTAAACCCCAAGTAATAACGCGCAAAGCGGCCAGGAAACTGAAAAAATTTTCAGAACATGGACCGGAAACATATATTCATGAAGAACGCCGAAAGAAATCGAAGAATAAATTACTGAAGATTTAATGTAGAAAGGCAAGTGGAGCAAAAAGCGAGACGCGTTGTTGAATTCTAAAATGGAGTCGTCGGTGGAGCCGTGAAGGTGCGTTCACAGCGAAAGCTCGCGAAAAAGCTTGGATTCCTTTCATAGACAACCTCCTATCATGTTATGTAAATGAGTGTCGAGTGCGAAAAAATGAATTGTTGAGGGATTAAGACGTGAAATAAATAAGATTTGAGTGCAATGGTCGTGAAGGGGTCTTTAAAAAACCAGTCAGAAGGTTTGTTAAATTGAGTTAAAAATGTCACCGGACAAAAACAAATAAAATACGGGAGCGGCAGAACAAAAGGGATCGCGAAATCGTTCCGAGAAGAAAACTGAACCGACCGGGCTTGCTGAATTGAATTGTCAATTACAATGAGGAGAAAAAACAACGACCATGTTTAGCGAGCACGATCAGAACATACATACTATGAACCCTTCGTTCTTCGACAACTGGAACCTGTTCGGTACCGACCTCTAACATGGGAATTATTTATAATGTAGTTGTAGACCGTGGCCTAAACGAAATCCTATATCACAGTAATACACGACTATAAACTCCAATCGACGAGATTGTTTTTCCAAATTTTAACTACACCTACTTCATTTTCCAACCGAAACATAATTAACGAATGATGATGGGGTTTGCCAGACTTGCTCCAAACCGTAATAATTCATACTTTTTAATTATAGCATGGCAACGCCAAGACAAGATAGGATTACTAATGTCTGGTTAGATGCGAAATTATGAAGAGCTCAAACCACTTGTAGGTAGGAAAGACGTGTTTACACGTCGTTTCCACATCGATTTTAACCTATCTTAGGGTTAACTCTTTGTAATTTATTTAAATTATTTTATGGCTGACATCTACCGACTTTCAAACAACAGCATTTATCATTATTATTTATTTTAATACAAAACCGGCCTCTATTACATAAATTTTATTCATAATGAGCTTTAATCCATGTTTATTGCCACTAAGAGGACCCGAAAGGGGGTCGTAAAAGACCTCGAGTGTAAGAAAATAACCATCATGTGTGATTTTTGTAGAGTAAAAATTAATTTGTTGAAAATCACTCCACTGTAATACATGTCATGAAAGATGCATAATTTTAAAACAATGAACTATTGATCACCGTCTCATTATAAAGGCTTTAACCTTTCACCCCAGTGAAAGTCGAGAACAGATTTGGGCGTTTTACCGAACAATATGTGATTTTCTCCCACTCGTATCGTTAACGATCTAAGATACAGAGTGTTCTCGCGAAAACTACTACCCAATAGTACTATCCAAGCGATCAGTAAATAATTCAATTTTGATCAATATAAAATGATAAATGATCAGTACCTATTTAATTAATTTTTGCACAGTAAAAATAATAGTTGCTAAGTAAAGCTGGCATAGAATTTTATTGTAATTTGTTCAGTAAAAAATCCAATTTGCATAGTAAAAGTAATAAACGCTCAATAACTTTAATCAAAATTAGTAAAACGTCATAAAATTTAAAGAATTTTCAGTCTTGATTACATAACAATGTATGGCCCTTACTCAAGAATGTTATTTATAATTGGTTCTTATTTTTATATTACTGAATATTTATTATTATTATTATTATTATTATTATAAGGTGGTATATGTATTAGCAAGGGCCCCTGCGCAAGAATGATTTTAGCAAGGGCTGAAACTGTGCATAAATGGTAATCAGTCTAATGTGCTCCTGATACCACAATTTTGTTTTTGGGACACTTTGCGATATTCCGATTTTGCTCGGAAACATTTTGTGAATGTTAAATTAATTAGTTTTACTAGACATTCATTCATTGTCTTTACTGTGCATTTAGTATTTTTACTGTGTATTTATTATTTTACTGTGCATTTATTATTTTTACTCGTATTATTTTTGTTGATCAAAAATACTTGTCGTTTAAACAATATACTGTGCATTTAATTTGTTCCCAAAACTATTTATGCTAGGAGAGGAGAATACTTTCCTCGGAGCCAAACAGAAAAAAAAGATTTTGAAATTGTTATAATTTAAACATTTGTTTAGATTTGGGGGGCAATCAGAGCTTGAACGAAAACCTTATAAACCTTATGAAAAAAATTACTGCGAAATGAAACTATTTTCAAGCAGAAGTACAAAAAAAAAAACGAAATGAAAAAGACGAAGACGTTTGTCCAAATTTTTCGTTCCAAATAAATAAAAGTTGCATTCTTTTCCCGATTACTTAATTATAATCCTTTTGATGAGGAATATTTTGTAATGTTTTTTAAACGGAAAATACAAAAAAATCATAATCCTGGAAAGGTTGAAATATTACTATAGACGGTATTAATTGAGTTATAGTTCCTTCAAGGTTTTCCAACAATTTTACAATGAAAGATGTTGAGATAGTTACCGAATTTCTTGTTCAAATAGAGGAATCGTGACCTTATAGCGTTTTGAATTATTAATTCGGGTATTATTCATCAGAAATTTGAATACATTATTTATGAGTATTTATGAGATGTTGATTCCTATTGGTTGTAAATCTTAGCCACAGTGGGTCATCGATAAACCTGGTCCTATGAATCCTCCCTGACTGTTTGTACGACTTACAAACCCCATAAATATAATTTTATGATTCGATAATTCAATAATAATCCATTTATATGGCAAGATACTCCATGAATCAAGCAAAAAATATGGGTTTTCTCGACCATTCCAAGCAATAAAATAGAAAATTAAATGTGTTCTGCTGCAATATTTACACATTCTGTGAATGCCCCTCTTGCGGAAGTTTGCTTGCACCTTATTGATTCACTTCTGCTGAATGGATGCATTGCACATATTTACATTCATGACGAGAACGCATTGTTACAGGAATTCCTTCGACAACCATTTTCATAGTAAAAAAATTAGAAATCAATCAACGTCTCTGATACGCAACAAATACGATTATTATCTGATTCGTTGTTATTATCGGTTGAAAAAGGCATTTGCTTACGTGCTACGCTTGCACCTTTGTAATTATCCCCAAGAAAATGAATTGCCACGACACTCGAATGCGAATTTCTTACGATTCGCCCACATAATCGTGGAGGTGTTTTATCTGCAATTACCTTTATTTCTAGATTTGTTTACACGTTCGGAAGCTGTTGTAGTGACATGTAATTGACCCCCGTGACATTTGAACCGGTAATAAACACCCTACTTTCCACCCCTATCAAAACGAAGTACTTTGTCTTATCGAGAGTTAAAATCACTGAACACGTGTCCGCTTCGATTGAACTTGACAACGACTACTTCCTCTACATGTGGGGTATCCTTTGTCCTACCATTCTACCACTCACCCTCAATACGAACGCATGTTTTTTAATTGGGAAAATTAATGAGTTTTTTGTTGCAGGGATGCATCAGCATGGACGGTTTTCGAGTTATTTGCACCATTCTCGTCACTGTTTTGGCAACCAGGATATCGACAACTGGAGCTGGTGAGTGATTTTTTCCCAACTAATTCAAAAAAATCATTTTTTTTATTAAAGACCGCGAACGTATGGTGACCAAAGCTGACTTAATAACAGTTCCGATTAACTTCGATACCAGTATTGTATGCACGATGAATATAATTCCGGATAATTTTCAATGGAAGTTTTATCCATTAAGTCGAAAACAGGCTTCAAATCCTAAAGCTCACATTAGTTTGACTCATTCACATTATGAGTTTGTTGATGCGAACAAATACGAGAATACACTTTCAAAAAAAACATCGACGCTTAATCTTCAAGCCAAATCCGATGATATTGCAGGGGATTATCAATGTTTGGCTTACTATGGCGCTTCAGTTGTTGCATCAATCCCTTGGAGACTGACTATAGCAAATATTAGCGAATTTCCCCCGCAAGAAAAAATCGAGGTGACTGTACTACCCGGCAATACGATTAACTGGAGGTGCGATCCACCTGAAGCTAATCCCGAACCTTATTTAGACTACCACAAAAACGGAATTTATGTACCGCCATTTGTAAGAGTCATGACGAAATCCCTGATAATCCCAAATGTTACAACTGACAATTCCGGCAGTTACACCTGCAAATCCGGTAATGTTTGTAATGATAAGGTTTCTTCCGTTTTATTCAATTTGAAAGTCGATAAAAGGGCACCTCGTGAGCCCCCAAAATTTATAATCCGGCCTAAAAGTGTCTACAATGTGACCAAAGGGGATAAGGTCCTCCTGGAATGTTCAGCTGTTGGAAACCCAATCCCTCAAGTCGTTTGGAGGAAAACAACAGGAATAATCCCTGAAGGTCGCAGCGAGTTGATAGCCGGTGGTTTGATTATCAAAAACATTTCTGAAAGTGATGACGGAATCTACGAGTGTACCCTTAGCAATTCCCTTGGGAAAATCGTACATTCAATCACTTTGAACTACAATGACGCTCCGAGTATTAATTGTCTACAAGATTCGATTGATGTCATCCAAGGTGAAAATTTGGACCTTGAATGTACAGTAACTGGGACCCCTGAACCGGAAATAACGTGGTTCCTGAATGGTTTTGTCACAAAAGATAACAAAATAATCACGGAAGGAAACAAGATTTTTTTCAAACCGACTGAAAAACGACACGCCGGAAATTTACAGATTTTCGCCCGAAACATTGTTGGAACTGTCTACAGTAGTATTTTCATCAAAGTCATTCCATTGATGTCCACAACCCAAGACAATGTCAGCGGAAAGCCTGTTCAACCGGCTCGGACACATCGACCCAACTCGCGCAAATTCAACAAACATGCAAAAATTTATCCACCTTCTAAGCCCAACATCACTGGGATTAGCGATGAGGCTGTAGTTTTACGCTGGACCGTTCAGAATAAGGGCCTCCCAATTCAATTTTTCAAAGTCCAGTACAAGGATTTTGGGCCTGCGGACCAACATGACCACCACAGTAAAAGCAAAGGCTCGAAATGGAACACAGATAATCCCGAAATTGATTCACATATCAGAAGTTACCAAGTGAATAACTTAAAACCAGATCACGTTTATAAATTTCGAATCGCTGCCGTTTATAGTAATAGTGACAATAAGAATAGCCCGAATTCCGACAAGTTTCATTTGAGGAAATTAGATTTTGACAAGCGGAATCCATTGCCGGTTCCTCTGATCACCAAGACTGAAAGCATCAACTCGACGGCGGTTAAAATCTATTGGAAGGTAAAGAGTGATACAGCTTGTTTTTTCTGTGTTAATTATCGGAATTTCAGTGTGATCCTTCGACTAATATTACAATTGACGGATTTTTCGTTAATTATAACTCCGCTAGCAGTGCTGGTGATTATACAAAGGCTACAGTCGACGGTCCTCAAACAAATTCTTTCATTTTGTCACATCTACAACCTGATACTGTATACGATATAAAATTGCAAAGTTTCAACTCGAAATCGGCGAGCGATTTTAGCTCAATAATGAAAGCCAAGACTCTTGGTAAGTTTTCTGATTTCCACAAAACTCATTTATTAGAAAACTTTGTTTCTAGGTTTAACCTCGACGACGCCTTCACCTCGAGAATCACCTCCGGCGTCGTCAAACACCGAAACTGCCGGGATTAGCAAATTATACGTATTTATAGCAACGGGAGTGTTGGGCGCTTGCGTTGTTTTGTTCGCCGCAATCGGATTGTTATTATTTTGCCGGAAACAATCCAAGCAGAAGAAAGCTGGTACAAGAGGTGATCGTGATAAAGCCTGTGATGACCATCACCACATCCAAGCCGACGCTACCGAGTACGTCGTGAGCCCCAAAGGTGCCCCCCGAACGAACGGTTGTGTCTCCCCAAATCGGATCACAATCACCGCAAATCCTTTGGCGGATGCCGACAACAAGGTGAGGTACATACATGATTTTTTCTTCCATTTCATAAATTGACCGGATCGTGTATAGGTCGTCCACGTGGTTTAGTGTCGTCTCCATAAACACCATTTTCCCGAATCTTGTAGGTGCAGTAAAGAGGCTTAAGCGAAGTATTGCTTAAATCGCGATCGAGATAAGCTGCTTAATCGCTAGTTCGAGATTTCTGCTTAGACTAACTACTAATAGCTGTTTTGTGCTTATTTGTTTGTACTTTTATTTATTATTTACTCACAACTAAAACTAGGTTAATTTCATCTTATTTCCAGAAATTTCTAGCTCGGATTTTTTCCAGAATCAGAACATGATTGAAATGTCCTGTTTGTCGTCACAAAACAACAACTGTTCAACTGGCCAACCCTCGGTCAGTGGAGAAGATTCGCCCACGAACTCCGGAGATAAAAAAAATAAAAATAGAGAAAAACGCATTAGAAATAAACACAACGTTGATTCGAATACGGCCGGCGAAAATTATGTGTAGTGGAATTACGTGAAAAAAACTTTTTTAATGCCTTAATATAAGACTGATTACGTAAACAGTGCCTTCTTTAAGGTCAATTAGCATGATGTCAATTAGATTTTTTTAAAAGAATGATAACTTGCCTCAGTGTATATAGAAAAATTTTGTACATATTTTTATTCGATAAAAGGATAATGTCATTTGAGTGATCTGTTTTAATTATTTAACTTATTTTTTGTACTTATTAATTACTAAGTAGTTCATTAAATGATTATTTATTAATTTCCAGTATTAATAACAAACTTTGGCAGCTAAAATGTATCTAACACTTAAAATATTTTGTAGAGATTACTAAAATTGGCACACATTAAACATTCGATAACATTAAAAGACAAGAATAATATTTATTAACTAATTAGGCGTGTGATGTGTGCCATGAAAACAACCCGTTAATGACACTATAGGTCACGATAAAAGAGTAAAGTTTATATGATTTATATAAAGAGCTACCAAATCAAATATGAATTTTTGTAAATATATTTGTAGAAGCAATTACAGCTCTCCTCTGATTATATCCATTGCCCTACAGCTTGCCAGTCACACTTATCTTGTAACAGTACAAATGCAGATTTCCCTTCGCTATTTTTTACATTTCTTCAGCTTTTATACACGTAGTTTGTACTTCAACGAATAATAAATAATCATCTTTGTATTCTCATTTTTCCCATTACCCTATCTTCCCACTGAAATTTCTCAGACGAGATTTTAGTTTAGTCAAGTGAGCAATTGTAATTTGTTTTTTGTCCAGATCCAAGGAACGGAGTCTATTCAAGCAGAAGGATAATATGCTGAGTTGTAATTTTTTCTTGTAATGTCATGACGCCAATCAAGAATTTAACGTCCTGGAATTATCAAAAATCTATCCAATAAATAATATCCCAAGTAACCATCCTAAATGAATTTTCATGCTGATTCTGCAATTTGTAAGAGCAGTTTTTTAAGCTGAAACTAAAGATTTAATGCTAATAGTACAGGCAACACATTAAACATTTCGCACTTTTCAATCTAATAATTTCATGTATACCTACCAGGATATGGCTTTTTAAGTGTAAAACAAGAAACAAATACCGAATCGATAATTGAGTGGGTTTTTTGAATGAACAAAAGTAATGAATGGCTTCATTCAAGCTTTTAATACTAAATTTTTGATAACCTTATCACATGCAAACAGTGTTTATCTTTTAATAAATAACGGCGTGTTGTTTTAATTGCAAAAGAAGTGGATTGTAATACCAAATCTTCGGGTATTTCAATTAAATCGCTATTGTTTTTTTTTTTTTTTTCCTAAATCTACTACACTGTGCTTGAGTAGTGATAATAATTGCTCAGTTAATTTTTCTTCTTTTGTGTTTGGCTGTATTATTTTTGAAAAAAACAAAGTGAGAATTGGATTCTAAAAATTTTAGTTTCATTTCCATGTATGTCGTGACCTTATTTATAACTTTTTGCTGAAATTCTATAAACCAATGCAATCCATCTACAGAATAATATCAAATATTACTTTGTGCGCATAATTTTCAAACTTCAATGATTTCTACCATGTCTTTGTTTCAAAAATGTGAAAAACGAGTATGCCCCTCTTGCCATCTGCAGTAAGAAATTTTAAAAATTACTGGCAAAATCTGAACCGCTTACAGTGAGAAAAGTGCTAAAAGTCAATGGTGTAATTTTGCCAATGGTGATATTAATGGGTCTTTGCATCCTTGTCATCGTGAAGATAATTTGTTTCTTGCACGACGAGCTTGTCGGAAGCCACTCACTCTCATACAGCGCGTAAGATATTTTGAGACTCTAAAATAAAGCAAATAAAATTGTCACGGAAATAAATATGATATTACAGCCTCTGTGATTCTATTTCCGAACCAGCAGTACAAGAGGAGTTCAAAACCGGTTGCAATAAGATAAGTTATCTCATTTCCCATATTTTGATCGGCGGTCTAAAAAAAAACACAATTTCTGAAAAACACAAAAATTGCAAAAAAATTACTTCACTTAGAAGATACAACGAAAAACACATTTCTCCCAGTGAGATGAACGTTTGGATGAAAGTTTGAGTGCTGTATATTGACTCAAGTTTTTCTGAAACACTGAGAAGAAGTTTGATTTGTTTTTTCCAAACATTTAATAAAACCTGAGGACTATTTGGAGATGTTTTATACAGTGAACCATTTCCTTGTCTACACAATCCTCCAAAAAGGGAGGATCGTGTAAAGTCTCCTCTTTTAAAAGCTTTTCCATTTTGGTTCTCATTATACATCGAGCTCGAATCGTTTTGAAAGCTCCTTGTAATATTTTAAGGTGACCACTGATGCAGCTCATTATCGTGATAAAAAGCGAATCAAGGGCTAATTTAATTGTAGTTACTGAAATAATTCAACTCACCTACAATCATCCACGCATAAAATGTTAAGGCAATAATCGTATAAATAAAAGTTATAAAAAACTGTAATTTCGTCCCAGAACCAAATGGTGAAACTGTATTAACTGGTTGTTCCTGTTGGTAAACTCTCTGGCCATTCTTCTCAACGTATTGTGTGTCACTCATAAAAAGAAAAGTAAAGAGACCGTTAGCAAACAAAGTCCCACAAAGTACGTTACAAAAACTTAAAAAATATTTCGTCCACTTTAAAGCTTGCTTTTTCTCTTCGTTCACAATTAATTTGGGTTGAAAATTCTTGTAGTCTTCATAATGGTAATTACCGTGCTGTAAAGTATCCATTAATTGAAGTATGTCTTTTCTCATGATAAAGTAATTGAAAGCTTTATACGCGAGTGAAACGTGATTTCCTATATCGCGTAAAGCTCTAAGAAATACACTCAAGTCATTGAAACTATAATAAACATAAAGCAGTTCTGCCGGTTGGTAAGCAACAAACAAGAAAAAGAACCAAAAAATGTTATAAGCATGTTGCAAGTATTTCTTGCTTGTCGTAGTTTCGTCATCATAAATCCAAAATGCTGTCAACTTTAGAAGCAAGATGTTTGAATCGAAATACGTTGCTAAAGTATGAATTTTTTTGCTTTTAGTCATTTCTAATCACGATGTGGTTGTTTCTCGATTTTACTTATATTTTATAGCGACTTGGTTCGATAATTGATAAAATATTAAATCTTAACACAACTAATGATTAGAGTAATTACGATAATACAGAGTTGCGACTGGGTAATTTCAATTGGGAAATTGCATATGTCACCTTACGAGTGAAAAATTTAGTAGTTTCACAAGGGTTAAAAAGTATTTTCAGGTAGGCGTGACTACTGAATGTCGTTTAAATTATGACCACTTTTTCACAGTCAAAGATAATTAGCTCGGATTAATAATGAATATTTTTTATTTACTCGTAATTAAAAGTGATGGATTTATAGTGTAACAAGACACAGCTGATAGTCCTAATTTATCCTAAAATTTATATTACACATGTTTGGAACAATATATTATGTGTAACTCGGGCATTATTTATTATAAAGTTTTATATTAATATGTTAATGAAGATGTGTTCTTGATTAGAACAGCTCAATTGGTAATTGGTGGTGAATGTATACTAATCCGTACTGGATGAAACTTTAAATGATCAGAACCTAACTTTCAGTTTAATTTCTTAGGTTTTTGCTTTGTTAAGAGTGTATTTTTGAAAAATAAATAAATTACAGTATTCGAACAATGGTTTCCCGACCTACTGGAAAGGATCGTTTTTCCTTTGCCTTAAGCAAAACTCTGCTCTTTTGATTCTAATATGTAGCACAAATCGTGCAAAAGTTGTTTTTCTCGTTTCTACATTATCTTTACGTGTTTAGCTGGGAATTTAAGTAAGTATTAAGAAATTACAAATATATATTAAAACTTCGATTAAATTATTGTTATCCCTGAGTCACCACTGGTTTCATTTCTTCGTAAAAAAATAAACTATTCACCTCTGATTATCCGTTTCTAATCGTGTTTCAGAGTCAGCATTACGTACCCACAATTATATTATGTATAGACATCATGTGGCGAATTATTTTTTTATGAAATAAATATGAAAAAAACAGATCGAATCGGCCTTTAAATTCCCTCATGTAAAGTCTTCTGGTTGTTTTGGTATTTACTGCCACCAATTATTTAATGTTTGTGGTTTGTTGTCCAAAAATTAAGGTAAAAATAAGATGGTTTTAACGATCTCAAAAAACAAAAAATTAGCCAGTTTTTATGAAATCATTAAGCAAACTCTTCGAGATAAAGATATCTCGAAACGCTTTAGTTATTTGACAGCACATTGGGAATTATGATATCCTCATTTTTCTTAATATTATAGATGAATTACAAATCCCAAATACCATACAACTAAAATTTGCATTTCCTAAAAACTCCGATTTCGTTCAAGTTTGAAAAAAAAACGCTAAAATAGGTCAATTTAAATCTTAAAGTGGGATTTTTTTATCAAAGTTTCAAAGTTATTTCTGCATCCCTCTAAGCCCAGAGCCCCTTCAAAAAAATTAAATAGCAAGAGGGGTCGAGTGACATCATTTTGTTGGTTTCATTGTCTATGCAATATTAAACGACTTTTTTTTTGACATTACTGTGAGTGGTTTTGAAAAAAGAATTGAATTTAAGGAATATGCTGTTCAAAATAATGTCACTTGATCCCTCTTGCTATTTTTATTTCTGTTTCAGCATTTTTTCCAAACTTGGACGCAAATGTTAGTTGGGACCCCCTGTATAAAATCAGGTAGAAATAAATAACGGACTTTTTCAAATAAAATCTGTCACTGTATCTTTGTTAAATAATACTAGTCGTATACCTAACAACCTTATGCAATTTCGCAATTTGTTTTAATTTTTTATGCGTTTTCAACTTTTTCTCAATATAATTATTATTCTTCATAAATCCATTTTAATATTCCTACCAACCCTGCCTTCAACCTCTGAAGAGGGTCAACATATAACTATCTATTTTTTAATGGGAACAGGGGTTAAATGGGATTTTTACTTTAAAGTTCAGTGAAATCTCTTTCTAAATAAGTATAAGTATTTCTTTTTTTAATTTGGTGCAATAATATTTAGCAAGAAATGCGGTTTTAAAAATACATTTCTGTGTGTTCCTCATGCTCGTCTTAATGCACGGACTGTGCAAGTTAAACATTCGCAGGAAAAATTTCCTTTTTAACACTCGTAAAACAAATAACTATTTTGGCCCTCTAACCTGTTAACGTCAAACTCATTAAATGTAATGATATAACGGAATGCTTTAAAAATAAAAAATTCCGAGCGAGAATTGTGTGAATAAAATTAACAACTTGAGTATGATATTTTCTTTATTTAATTTTATACATTGGTTGTCCCGGCACCTCCACCATTTATCACCATTACTACAGTGTTTGGCTGTATTATTTTTGATAAATAAAGACGCCTTATTGATCATTTTTGAAAAAAACAGCAAGTGAGAATTTGTTTCCAAAAATTTTAGTTTCATTTACATGTATTTAGTGACCTTATTTATAACTTTTTGCTAATATTTATACCTAAACCATTGCAATCCATCTACTTAAGAATATCAAATATTACTTGTAATTTCGTTGTGCGTATAATTTTCAAACTTCAGTGATTTATACCATGTCTTTGTTTCAAAAATGTGAAAAACGAGTATGCCCCTCTTGCCATCTGCAGTATTAGGAATTATAAAAATTACTGGCAAAATTTGAACCGCTTACAGTGAGAAAAGTGCTAAAAGTCAATGGTGTAATTTTGCCAATGGTGACATTAATGGGTTTTTGCATCCTTGTCATCGTGAAGATAATTTGTTTCTTGCAGGACGAGCTTGTCGGAAACCAGTCACTCTCATACATCGCGTAAGATACTTTGAGACTCTAAAATAAAGCAAATAAAATCGTTACGTAAATAAATATGATATTACAGCCTCTGTGATTCTATTTCCAAACCAGCAGTACAAGAGGAGTTCAAAAGCGGTTGCAGTAAGATAAGTTAACTCATTTCCCATATTTTGATCGGCGGTCTAAAAAAAGCACAGTTTCTGAAAAACACAAAAACTGCAAAAAAAATTACTTCACTTAGAAGATACAACGAAAAACACATTTCTCCCAATGAGATGAACGTTTGGATGCAAGTTTGGGTGCTGTATATTGACTCAAGTTTTTCTGAAACACTGAGAAGAAGTTTGATTTGATTTTCACAAACTTCTAATAAAACCTGAGGACTATTTGGAGATGTTTTATACAGCGAACCATTTCCTTGTCTACACAATCCACCAAAAAGGGAGGATCGTGTAGTGTCTCCTCTTTTAAAAGCCTTTCCATTTTGGTCCTCATTATGCATCGAGCTCGAATCGTTTTGAAAGCTCCTTGTAATATTTTAAGGTGACCACTGATGCAACTCATTATCGTGATAAAAAGCGAATCAAGAGCTAATTTAATTGTAGTTACTGAAATAATTCAACTCACCTACAATCATCCACGCATAAAATGATAAGGCCATCATCGTATAAACAAAAGTGATAACAAATTGTAATTTCGTTCCAGAACCAAATGGCGAAACTGTATTAATTGGTTGTTTTTGTTGGTAAACTAACTGACCATTCTTCTCAACATATTGTGTGTCACTCATAAACAGAAAAGTAAAGACACCGTTAGCTAACATAGACACACAAAGTGCGTTACAAAAGTTTAAAAAATATTTCGTCCACTTTAGAGCTTGCTTTTTCTCTTCATTTACAATTAATTTGGGTTGAAAATTCTTGTAGTCTTCGTAATGATAATTACCGTGCTGTAGAGTATCCATTAATTGAAATATGTCTTTTCTCATGATAAAGTAATTGAAAGCTTTATACGCGAGTGAAATGTGATTTCCTATATCGCGTAAAGCTCGCAGAAATACACTCAAATCATTGAAACTGTAATAAACATAAAGCAGTTCTGCCGGTTGGTAAGCAACAAACAAGAAAAAGAACCAAAAAATGTTATAAGCATATTGCAAGTATTTCTTGCTTGTCGTAGTTTCGTCATCATAAATCCAAAATGCTGTCCACTTTAGAAACAAGATGTTTGAATCGAAATATGTTGCAAGAGTATGAATTTTTTTGCTTTTAGTCATCTCTAATCACGATGTGATAGTTTCTTGATTTTACTGATATTTTATAGTGTCGTGGTTCGATAGTGGATAAAATATTGAAATTTTGACACAACTAACGATTAGGGAAATAACAATAATACAGAGATGGGACTAGGTTATTTCAATTGGGAAATTGCCTATCATATGTTACCTTACGAATGAAAAATTTAGTAGTCTCACAAGGGTCAAAAAGTAGTTTTCAGGTAGGCGTGACTACTGAATGTCTGTTAAATTATGTCCACTTTTTCACAGTCAAACATAATTGGCTCGGATGAATAATGAATATTTTTTATCTACCCGTAACTAAAAGTGATGGATTTTTAGTATAATAATAAGACACAGCTGGTCGTCCTAATTTATACTAAAATTTATATTAAGTACATGCTTAGAACAATATATAATCTGCAACTCTGGCTTTATTTATTATAAGGTATCTCATTCACATGTTAATGAAGATGTGTTCTTGACTAGAACATTGATAGTGAACGTATTGCATGAAACTTGAAATAACCAAAAAATATTTGTAACCGGAACAACAGATCCTAATCGCATGCAGTACAGTCACTGTATCCTTTCCTAAAATTGTTTTGGCATCCTAACTTTTCAGTTTAGTTACATTGGATGATAAAATCAGGTAGAAAATAATAACGGACTTTTTCAAATAAAATCTATCATTGTTTCTTTGTTAAATAATATTATTCGTATAAGTAACAACTTTATACAATTTCACAATTTATTTTAATTTTTTATGCGTTTTCAACTTTTTCTCAAAATAATAATTATTCTTCATAAATCGATTTGGATATTCCTACTAATTCATTATTACCATTCTTATTATATTTATTATATAAAATGGCCCACTAAACACAAACCATCCGAGTTTTTAGCATTTTGACTCAGTTATTAGTCAAAAACGCTCGGACCGAGCAATTTTATATGTGTACTTCGCGTTTGCCCCACTTCAGGGTCAACTATAACTATCTATTTTTTATTAGGAGCAGGAGTTAAATGGGATTTTTATTTTAAAGATCCTTGAAATCTTTTTATAAATAAATATGTATTTTTTTTATTTGGTGCAATAATAATTAGCAAGAAGTCCCGTTTTAAAATACATTTCATCAAGTCGTAGAAAAAACATTGTGTTCTATTTGTGAGAAAAACTTACTTCATGCTCGTTTTAATGCACAAGTCAAACACGGGCATGAAAATTTTCTTTTCAACACTTGTAAAACAAATAACTATTTTGCCCGTCAAACTCAGTAAATGTAATAATATTACGGAATGTTTTGAAAATTAAAAAAATCCGAGGGAGAATTGTGTGAATAAAATTAACAACTTGAGTATGTTATTTTCTTTATTTAAGTACTTTTATTTTTATACATTGGCTGTCCCGGCACCTCCACCATTTATCACCATTGATAAATTCATCGACGTCTTCGTCTGGTATAGTATTGGATTCTAAAACAATTTCAAAACAAGAAAATTATGTTCGTGTAACACTAAAAAAGAACAAAAAAGTTTTTTTTCCAACCTGTGGTGGACATATATTTCAAGGATGAGCATCACCAAAGCCGCCCCAATCCCCCCAGCTAAGACAACGGCAGCCGGATAACAATCAACCAACCCCACACTGATAAAACTACTCCCTCTCGATAAACACTGCGGTTTTTTCGTATAAATTAACCCAACTTCCCTTTCCTGAATCCCGTTTTCCTGAAGCAAACGAAGTCTGCCAGAAATGAAGTAAAACGCAAAATGACAACTCACCCCACTTTCAGCATTTTTTTATATGAAGAATTTTTCTGAATTGCTAACCAAGGATCAGGCACTTGTAAATACTGAATTTCTTGTAACCCACATTTTTCATCTTCTCGGAAAATTTCGCTGACAAATTTGTACCCAGGACCTGTCTCAACATGAAAAGCGAACAAACCTTGTCTCATTTTCCTTATGCCTTCTTCTATGGGATAAAATTTGGGTTTTTGGCCCGGAGGAGCGACTTTTTGTTGGTAGATTGCGCGACGGATCGGTTCTGTTGCGTTCTAGAATTTAGTTTGAAGAGTTGAAGCCGTAATTTGTACTTCTTACGGGGAAATAGAAATGATTGAAAACGGTATTGTCGACACCCACATCTAATCTTGAATTGAGGATGTCTTGAAGTGTTTGAATACTACTTGATGATGACTGTAGCAAAGCGACAATATTTGCAGAGTAAGATGTGTACAAGAACATGAGGGACACCAGGAGGAAAATTAAAGTGATTCGACCGGGGATACTGAAAGGAATTGACGAGGTGCCCTGTTGACACAAAGCCCCAAATGTTATAAAAACAACCTCAAGCCACGAATTGTGAATTTCTGTAGTGTTAGATTCATTCTGGAAAAGACAAATGAGGGAAAAATTATAAAAAACGCAAAAAATTATTACCACAACTTCAACATAATTCCGCTTTTTCCACTCCCATCTCACAACAATATACAAGATAATAGCAATAATGACAAGCAAACCGCAAACAGAAGCCCACACAAAATTATCAAACGGTAAAGTAAAAACATTGGCAACATACGACAATTTCGGCTGTCGGAAAATAAATTTAGACCTTGTTGGGGTGGTCATTGCGATATAATCTATAATTTTGATCCGATCGCTTGTAAGAAATAGGGCTGTGCCCCCGATATCCGCTTCGTTTCTTGTCAATTCCCCAATCATGCCACTCCATTGGGACTTGTTATCTTTATAGCCCCAAGTACCCCTCACTGAATATTCCAAGGATGCGTTTATTGTATCCGAGAGATGTTGCACTAGGACATAATTGACTTTAGCGATGCTGTCGATATGAATGTCTCTCTTGTCAGTCAAGTGGTTCAAAGAATCATTATTTGTGATCACAATGCATGATTTCAGGACTGTTTTCTGCAAATTTCGACGACGCTTGTACGTGATTTTTTCGTAGCCGGTGTTAGTCAGACCTTGACCACGTTTCCAAATTCCTATATTTTCAATTATTACAGAACTGTTAATTTTTATCTTGTAAATTTTATTTAAGTCAAATGTGTCTCTCGTGTGATTTATGGTGGCAAGAGTGACATCACTATCGACTAAAATATTAATTTCAGTGAAATGTTCTTGAATAAAAGCCGAGAGTTCAACATGATCGTTGTTATAAACAATCCATTTAAATGGTGTAGCAAAAAGTTTTTGTTCACTAGCCTTCAAAAAGTGATTTAATACAAACAATTTCATTTTTTTAATGCATACCAAGACTAGTAATTGTTTGGTGTTTAAACAACTAGCATCCAAAACAAACGTAATAAAAGCTGGTGGTATTGGATAGGGCAAATTGCGAGTACTTGGTGATAAAACATTGACTTGGTATAACTTGTTAGAAAAGTGACTCAGTACCTGAAACGCATCTACATTTTGTTTAATATAATTATTGATTTATTATAATTTGTTGTCACCTCTTTTGTTACACAAATAGGCCAACATAATTTGGGTTTTATTATAATGTTCGATCAAATCATTAATCATTGATAACACAATCCTACAATCGCAAAACTTTATAAAAAGCAAAACTACTAAAACCACTTTGAAATTCATTTTACTGAAGCTATTTCAACACTACGATTTCACATTTCATGTTCAATTTGTCATTGTTTGCTCGGTAAATACAAGTTTCGTGAAAATTGAGTCGAAACTATAATTTCAGATATTTCACTGTTTAAACAGTGATACTTTAATATTGACTCAAATTCGTCTAAATAACTATGTAAGGTTAAATAATAACATAATAGAAGCTAATTTGTTACTCAAGCCATTATTTTGCGGTAATTCAGTTGTTTTCCAATGTTTGCACAAAAATGTTTAATACATAAGTGAAAAAAATGCCGTTTCTCCGCATTTTTTACACAATTACTCAACAGTCTCCAGTTTTAACATAATTGAACTTGTTATAATTAATTAAAGCGTGATATTGTTGGCTGATGCTTTGCATACATCTGAATTAATTTCAATTAATTGGCTCGAGTCATGGCCATTTTTGCTTTTTGATATTAAAAGGATAAAAATAAAACACAATTTGAATTATCAACAACTCTTTTATTCCTCGAACTGTAGAAATTATAAATGAACTCGAAATTAAGGATACAAAATATCATAATGCCCTGGACGGTAAAGTAAATGTACTAAAGGTGTGCAACCTTCAGGAAAATCGTGTTCTGTGACAGACTTGTTGTTGCCTCTGTCCATGTAAACCACACGTACCCCCATGTTGAGAGCAGCACAGGCAGCAATTATGTGAATATGATCACTTTCTTTGTACATTGGTTCAACCTCCTGATGACAAAAATCAGCAACCTGGAATAAATTTGTTAGTGGTTTGTAATAAATTGTTGAATGTGTTCACGTACAGTTCTGCCACCTTCAATAAAACAACTGTAAAAATCTTGGTCTTTTTGCAACTGTCCACTGGTTAAAAGTCTTAAATAAACAACCATGTAATCAGAATAACCTTGCTCGTTAAATAAAAAATGAAGAGTTTTCTTGGCGTCGTCTACATTAGTTAGGTCACCTACACGTTTGAGAACTTCCATATACTACAAAACGAACAATTATTGATGGTTTTGTAAATATGGGGGCCCTCACAATATCGTAAAAATCTTCTACAGTAAACTGTTGAAAGCCAAGTTGAACTAGAGCATTTTTGCTTTCTTCAGCTTGCTTATAAAACACGTTAAATTCGTCTTTTTTATCTAACAGTCTTTCAAGACCCGCATAACTATACGCACGGAAAAAACAGTTTCCGTCAGGTCTAGTTCTACGAATGTGCTTATACTTGGAAGACAAATCTTTGATTTTTTCTAAGTAAACTTCATCATTAGCATATTCACCATTTAATGAAGAAATTGGTTCCATTTCACCAACTAAAGGAATACTTTCAGAAATCTATAAACAACTTTGTAAAAACATAACCTCAATTTTGTACATTTTTTACCTCCTTTTCAATCTGGCGTTGTTGGGCCAGGATTAATTCGTCCTGGTTCACCTGAGAGGTTTCTTCTGTGGAATTTTTGCTTTCGTCACCCATTTTCTGTTACAATTAACACAAAATAATCACACAAAGCACAAATGTTTTCGACCACACAATTTTGACAGTTGCTACGACAAGTTTGTCAGTTGTGGTAAAAAGTTAAAAATAAGAAATTGCAACTCTGACACATCTCATTATTGTTTAACAAATAGCACGGCAATGCAAAATAACACCACAAAATATAATAATAAACGGATAAACAAAATATTTTCGGGTGTATAATTGGTTGCATAATTGTAGGTGTAATAATTTTAAATTACTCTTGGTAGATTTTTGTTGAACAAAACATAATTCCTCTTTAATAATTTATTACCATTACAATATCCAATAAATACATTGTATAAATGTTGACAATCAGATCTACTTGCACAAATAATTATCACTATAAGTTACGCAACAAGTTCACTTTGGTAGATATATAAGGAAATGTAAATACAATCATTTTCTAATACTGCTATGGACTTATAATTTGATGTACTGCTAAATATGGATTAGTCGAATTGATTAGGCACCAAATGATAAATCTTAGCAGCAAAAAGATTTTTAAACACAGCCGTAAAAATAAAAAAAATTTCCAGGTACCTGAAAATCATTTTCAACAATATTTGCAACAAAAAATACTTAGTTTTCTCTTCGTAGAACTTAAGAAACCGTGTATTAATTCAAAACACCTACAACACACCTTAAATTTGTATAAAAAATACTTTATATACTGGACAGAAATTTTTAAATGTGTTCTTTTGAGAGAGCGAAATCTAGTCTAGAGTCCCATTTATTTCCTACTTGTACCTATAAAAAATTATTGTAGTGGAGGCAGATTATCTAAGTTCAAGAGCTCGTTAATTCTTTTTATACAAAGCTTGGAACCCTCATAGGCTTCTTTGGAAATCTGAAACAAAACTTCAACAATTGTCCAGGAAAATATTTCGTATTTTACCAAAGAAAAATTTAGAAAACCGTGTGGTAACCCCGATAAAATATCCAAATGGACGTCTTTATTTAAGTCCTTCAATCGTTTTGAAAACATTACGCAATCGTCCAAACAGGGGTCTAAATGAACGGTCTATAAACCAAACTGTGTAATACAAAAAAAAAATGCAACAATTATAATTTACCAGAACCCGAACCGGCGGAAATCGCTCTAAATCCTCATCCTTAGCACAAAACGGACTCAAATACGGATCTTTGGGAACTGTAAATTTGAATTCATCAAGTAAACTACCCTGCCTGTCCAAATCTAGATATTTTTCAGCAGCACTCGCACTCCTTGGTACCATAAAATCCACCCCAACTTGTGCCTTCTCTGCTATCCAACTGTTGAACCGCCATTTCAAATTTGAAACAAAACTCGAAACTTTACTTTGCAAAGAATCATCAATTGACTGAGACGAAGTTGCGCTTTCGTGTTTTAAAACAGGTACTCTCGTTCCGTCAGTCTCAGTATCAGAATCTAAAAAAATCATATTTCTACTGGCCTCTTCCATCCAACACGAAACGTACCCAAAACGTACTTTTCCAAAAAATCAGAAACGTATTTTTGACTATTCTCGATATGTGACTGCTGCAAATCAACATCTTTGTTTCTATCATCTTCTCCACCAGAATTTAAAGACCCGTAAGTCAAAGTATCGGACGTTTCAGACACCGGTGATTTGTGAGCTTGCAATTCCATCAAATCTGATTCAGATATTTCTTCGAAACTTTCAGTATCCGAAGTTTGGTCGCAATTTTCCACTTTTTTATTGTCAGGACATGCATAAGCTAACACGAAATTATTTCAAGTCTATTCATACAAGTGTTTTACCTTTCAAACAACGCATCATAAAGCCAAACGGTAGCAAAGGATCCATCATACATAATAAGCGAGACGGCGAAGGTACGAAATTTACTAAAGTAGGCACGTATGCTACGAATAGGCCCATCGGGGGCGGAATGCCCAAATTTAGGCATTTTAGAGTAGTCGAAAGAAGCAAGTTTGCTCCAGCCGAATCTCCAGCGCCTATTATTCTCTCACCTAAACAATGTTGATGAAATTATTAAAAGTAGACTAATTTAAAAAAGTTTAAATTTTCGTAATTAATTTTTTTTAACGTAGATGTTCTCACTTACCTGTGCTTCCTAGCAATTGACAATTCTTCAAGGCCCAACAGTAGGCATAAGTGACCTCTTCCAGAGCCCTTGGAAAGGGGGCCTCAGGCGCTAAATTGTAATCAATGCTCAAAATAGGTACTTTCAACTGTTTTGCCCACTCCCTCAAATAGCACTCATGTGATAAAGAGGATTGAGCAACAAATCCGCCCCCATGACAATGTATAATGAGGCCTCTTGCTGGTGGTTTACTTTTGTATTTATTTGAAGCTTCTCCAATCATGCCTTCATGGACTTCATGACTGATAAGGCGCACTTGGACTGGTTTTCTACCTGTGATATATTTTTAAAGATTAGTTTGCTTTAAGAAAAAAAGTTAGTACCAATATGGGACGATGGGACAGGAACATCAATTTCTTGACCATCAACTTCAAGAGTGAAAGGTTCAGGGGGCAAACTGATAATTCTGGAAACTGCCACACTTGGTGCAACCACATATGGCATGTTAGTCATTAATTCATTTTCAGAAAGAAACCAAAAAGCTTTGCAGAAATTTACATCAGCATTTTGTGAAATATTTACAATTCTTCTTGCTCTTTGTTCAGGATCATTGACGTATTTTGAAGTAGCCATTAACGAAGTGGTAGCTTTTGCAAAAAAGGAACCTTCATTGTAATAAATTTCGGAAAAAATTGCCATTGACATTGAGATAAATTGTAAAATGTTTTTCAATGATTCACAAAACTACAAAAACAGATTTGTTCTTTTGTAATATTTTTTCTTATGATGACCTTACTTGAAATCCCATACAACGACCATAAAAACAATACTGATTTATATCCTCATAGTTGGATAACAGTTCTTGAGGGGAATGTTCTTCATCAGGAAACAAATTTCCTGCACTACTCCAGGATAACAACGTTTCCAAATGTTTGAAACATGTATCCAGACTTGCAATTAAGTGGGCACAAGACTCCACATCCCTGCAATTGCCACATTTAAACATGAAACATTATAAAACCACTCACTTTGTTAATTGTGACTTCCTGAAGAAAGCACTGGCCCTTTTCAAACAGATCTTTTTGTTCAACGCTATTCCATAATCAATCGCCGAATTGGCGACACTCAAAAAACTCCTATACCCGTTTCCTGGAGTATTTTCATCAAAATCAAATCTGTGGACTTCTGATGCAATTCGTGCCATTTTCTGGGAAATTTCATCCAGATTTTCTTTAATTCCCATAAAGGAAATATACAGTCGTTGCCCATTTTCGCTTGTATCTTGTGCAAAAAAATTCGCATTGTTCTCACACAGATCTTTCAACACCTCGATATTCGAGGCACTTGCTTCCTTGTGTTCTAGGCCGTTTATCACATTATCCTGATCTGTCATTTCAAAACACTTTCAAATTTTGTTTGTTTACGTGTTAATGTATTTGTTCATGTAGCTTGAGATTTGGATGAGATTAGATAAATAATGTTTACATTAAAAATTAGGCGAAGTTCTACTTGTATTTTGGTGACATGAGCATGACACTAAACGCTGCATACGATTGCATGAACTCCCGAAAGTGAATTGCTGCGAAAAATACAGCATCGCCACTTTTACACAATTCTTAATTTATTAAAATAAAAATGTTAAAATGTAAATGTGCCACATGTATTTAAAAAAACATTACGCAATAATTTAGTATAGATAAAGTTTTTAGCAATTAATTTCATTTTTTGAATGTTTGCACTTTACATGGATGAGTGTATTTTTCGGATTGTGACTTCGATCAATATCCTAACTGTCACTTCTCCTCTTTGGAGGTTAGATTTTTACGAATAAATACAATTTTACAAAAATGACCACTTTAAGGCCCTTTACTTGCGACGATATGTACAAATTTAACAATGTGTAAGTGTAACAAGTGTCAATAGTGAGTTTTAGACATTTTTTGTAGAAATTTAGACCCTTTGACTGAAACTTATGGATTATCTTTTTATATGCGTTATTTGGCGCATTGGCCGGAATATTTTCAAGTTGCGGAGTCTCCAAGTGGTGAAATAATGGGCTACAGTACGTCTGCATTTTTTATACTTTCAATAACAATTAATGTTTTAGTAATGGGGAAAGCCGAAGGCATTGGGGAGAACTGGCATGGTCATGTCACAGCCCTGACAGTCTCTCCTGATTTCAGACGATTAGGCTTAGCGGCCACTTTAATGAATTTCTTAGAGGATATTTCAGAAAAGTACAGTTTTTGTACCAATTCAAGAAATATTTTTTAATTGAGAATTTCAGAAAACGCGCGTATTTTGTTGACCTTTTTGTGAGAGTCAGTAATAAGGTGGCAATTAATATGTACACAAACTTGGGATATATTATATACAGAACTGTTTTGGAATATTATTCTGGTGACCCTGACGAAGATGCTTATGGTCAGTGTGAAATTTGCCGCGTTTTGGTTTTAATTAAGTAAAATTTCAGATATGAGGAAGGCTCTTTCAAGAGATGTGAATCAAAAGTCTGTGATACCATTAACACATCCTGTGAGGCCTGAAGATGTGGATTAGTAAACCTTTAGTTTTTATTCTGATTAATGAACGAATATTTTTAACAAATATGCAAGGAAATTTGCAATGTTATGAATAAATATTTAATTGTGAAATAAAGAGTGTTTTTTTACATGTTTGACACGAATATTTGCTCTTGAGTTATGTTGTATTTTTGGTTGCATAACTTCAACAAAAGTACATTATTTTACCAAGGTTTTTTATTGTTTTAAAACGAGAAAACAATATGAAGAAAAATATGTTAACAGCTTTGGAAATTGTCACTATTTTCCTTCTATACCAGCAATGTAAAAGTGATTTTCGTGTTGGGAATAATACCTATTACAAAATATCAATGACTCAGTAAATAACTCGTGGTTTCTGTTTTTCCTGTTTTTACACTATCGTTAATTTTTTTTATCGTTTACACCTCCTGAATAAACATTTAATATTTATTTTAATTATAAAATTACAATTTGTTTATGATTTTGCAGTTTTACGTGATGTTTGGAAAAAGTTGCAACACTAATCAATGAAACGGGATTATCACAATTTTCATTTATTAAGTTTCACTTTTATTACCATTATGATTACTGGCGTTTCTATTAAGCAATGATGGTACTCATCAACGGTACCAGTATGTCTATTATGCAATAATTCTCGAAAAGGTCGTTAAAATGTTTATCGCTTTTCATAAAATAATGGCTTGAATTTCTGTCCTCTGTGTCCAATGAAGTGTAGTTAAAATACACCGGAAATAGATGAAAAAATCCTTAAAGCTTGTGCAAAATCCTTGTACAAGCCTGAAAATTTTTCACCTGATTGAAATTTATCTATTTTTCCTGAATAAGTGAAAGCTAGAGATAGCACGAAGCGTTCCCGGAATACCTGGAGTGGATGCCCACATCTACACAAAACCTATCTTGTGTTATCGGCCACTCTACCTAAAAAGTGTCGACGAGGTATAAAAGAAAACAGTTATTTACAATATCTAGCCGAGAGTCGTGCACAGCTTTCAGTTAGTTTTGGTCGATTAACTTTCAATAACGCATCGAATTGTGCTGGTGAAAATATAACAATCGCTTCACATTTAGTCAAAAGTTGAGTGAGTGGAAGAATGGCCAAGTTTACGTTAATTTGTTGCGTCATACTCTTATTTACCGGTGTTATAAACAGCGAAATCATCGCCTTTGAAAATTGTGAAGGTAACATAAAGCCACTACCTTTGTTTTAATTTTAAATTAATTAATTTTTTATCTAGATTCCGACGATTCTGTTTGCGAAGTCAAAGAAGTCAGAGTTGAGCCGTGCAAAGAAGCTAAAAATAAAAAGCCGTGTAAATTTAAAAGTGGCACGAATGCCACTATCGAATTTGATTACATATCTCGTGAGTTTCAAATTAGAATTTGCAAGTAAATAGTAATATTCCCTTTGTAGACTTTGACACTGATAAGCTTTTGAATCAAGCTTATTCGGTCACATCTTTGCTAGATTTACCCTTAATTGGAATGGACAGAGATGGTTGCAAATCTGTTCAATGTCCGATGAAAAGTGGAGAAACTGGAGTTTACAAACATCAGCTTCATATTTCACCTGCATTTCCGTTATTAAATTATAATGTGAAATGGAGACTCTGGGATGCGCATGACGGGAAAAAGGGATGTTGTTTCACATTTAAAATAAAACTTGTAAGATAAGTGGATAAGTTTTGTCTTTAAATAAATCAGGTAGATCTTTGAGTATTATTGTCGTTCAACTTTCTAAACCTCTCAGATAAACGTCTGATTTCTCTTTCTTTTCGTAATTAACGCTAATAGCTTAAACCTCGTTGACATTTTAAATTTTCTTTACCTACTTACAACTTAGGTTTTTTTTGTATAAGTTTTTCGACTTAAATAATAATCATTAACTTATGTACAAAACTTATAACAGACCAAAAATATAGATTCTCTCATATTAAATAAATCAAAAAACACATATTTTATGTTAGGCTTGCAAGTTTCAAGTGGACTCTCTTACCAGAATTACAAAGACTCACATAAAAAATGTCTTACACAGTGTCATCTTTTGTGTTTATTTAATAAACACAATGGAAAAATACTCAATTTGAACTGAGCAAAATATTTTAGTGCAATCACCCGTAGTTCCTTTAACAGAACAAATAAAGCATGACATAAATGCATGAACTGAAACGGGGATTGATATGAGTCATTTATGTCGTATAACGTTGCTGAGGAGCTGTGCTTACCTAAAAGGCGAAAAACCTAAATTAGTTTTGTATCAGATCTGTAAAAGGAATGAACTTTTCCGTGAAAAATTCAATAAAATTAATGATAAAAGAATGTAATTTGCAAAGAAACAAGATTAAAATGAATTTTATTAAATGAATTGATCTGGAATCTTAATCCAGTAAGAATTTTCTTTGAAATACAAGGATAATAAATTCCCAGACAAACCAAACTATATTATAATTTCTATGTCCGATGGGAGCAACCAATTGCTTAGTACCTAAATACTCGGGCAGTTGATGAAATGTTGGAGTTTACTCTAGTAACGTATTCAAGCTTTGAAGATTGAAATTATCATTTGTATAAACGAAAAGGAACAAAGATGCTTTTGCGAAATATTCATTTATAATTTGCCGAAGGAGTTCTATCTTATTTTATATAAAATAATTAAAGTGGAAACAAGTATTGCATTTATCATATTGTTATTATTGCATTTTGTTTTATCTGGAATCGTCATGAGACTAAAACAATACGAAAAAAATTTGAGGGCATCACAGAATAATTCTGGAAATGTTTCATATTTCTTTTCCATTAAGTAATTGTTATGAAGCTATAAAATTTTATCCGAATAAAACATAATGGTATATGCCTCCTTGGTTGCTCGAAAGTCACCAGTAAATAAAAAAATCACTGCTAAAATATTTGTTCTGAAAAGGAAATGAAAATTTTTCTAAATTTAACTAAGCCAGAGAAAAAGGAAATTACACCAGATAAAATTTTCTCCTATCAAATTACTTCGTCTTCTCTTTCGCATTCGACAATTTTTTTATTCATTCCAGTCATATAGCCATTAATTCGAATTCCAGAATAAACTGTAATTCGAAACTTGTGCGAATTATGTCTTTACTTTGATGTGGGATGCAGCAAACTATTGAATGCTACGATAAATTTATAAAACAACCATAACAACCAGTTATATCAACATTATTGTCTGTGGTAAGCAAATGGAATTTGATTGTTTATAATGTTTTTCTCACTATTAAAATATACAACGAGTACAGCAAGGCGAAGAAACTGCTGTGGACTTTAAACAAATGTTATTCATAATACATAGATTTGGTAAAACCCCAAACTGTATGCAAAGGGCGGTAACGAATTGCATTCAAAAGTGGATTACAAAGCTTATCAATGTATTTTGTTCACGTAAAGCATAAATTTAAAAGTCGCATCTGTTTGTATTGCGTTCTAGCACTTTCTTCTTTTATTCAAACATGGGGGTATATTGTACGTAAAATAAACACTAGAAATTGAAGCACATGTGTTACATTGGGTGACAAAAAATGTATCAGCGACCTTATGGTTTAATCGAAATTTCGTCATGTTTAACGAAGCTAACCAGGGATGAATTCAATCTCCTTAATGGATCTGCGATATGAATTAATCTATTGTTATAAATTCATCTGCAAATGAAAGGGGTGCAAGTTAGCAGAGCGTCACTTGTAAATAGATTCATTATTAATAAAATTACCCAATTCGATAAACCAAAACATGTAAATCTCCAGAGTTGGTGTAAAATTTGTAAATGTGTTTGTTTATGTCCAGAAGCCCCCACGACAATTGGGGCAATTAGGCCTATTACATCGGATATGATAACATAGAGCCAATGTTATGGTAATAGCTAATCCTTTTTAATCTCCCTGTATATCTTTCACTTAGCTATTCATGAGTAATCCCTCTTTTTAAAGGTTGCACAGAGGCGCGTGCGGTTTTACACCACAGGTTTACAGTGTGGCTTAGCGATCCCTCGTTTCCATTAGCATGAGAACCGCAAGGTGCATTGCAACTTTTTTGTGTGTATATACTCTGTACACTTTTAATACATCCATTCAACTTCGTCATCTTCTATTGTTCGAACTTTAGCAGACTGGGGAAGGGGTTTTCAATCGTCTCCAACAAGAAAAACAATTAATCACGACTTTCCAACTTTTCTTATAGTTTTACAAAGAAATATAGATTGTTTGTTTTACGCTCGAACAAGTGAAAGTGTTTTGCACTTTGGTGCATCTCCAACCCCAGCGCGCCAGGGACGGACTTGGCACTTTACGAAGTGTTCTCCAAGCGGAGATTCACTGCCGGAAGCCATCTCACCGTGTAGTTTAGAACAATATGCTTTCCATTCGTAGCTATCTGATAAACGCCTGTTTTAATAAAAAGTTACTTTCCACACTACACAGAGTGGACAAAAAGTATTTTATTTTTTTAGACAAAGACGAGATTTTAAAATCACAATTTTGTAGACGATTTAAAAAAATATATCGCAGACTTTTTCAGTCTCTTATCTTTCATCAAAATACAGGATATCGGTCAAGTCGCCCCGGCTGATAACACTTAAACTTACTTCTTTTTTTCAAAAAGTAAATATTTAAGTAATAATATTCATTCTTGGCTTTCTTAATGAATGTATCAAATTTTTTTAGCACATCCGGTGTTGCCGGAAATGCTACCAAATTTAGTTTTTCAAATGGAACACCTATGGTTTTTTTTCCTCCAAACAATAATAATTGACATGAAAAATATTGTAAACCACTATTTATTACATTTTGCGTAACACAATGCAATCAAAAAACATCTTAAATCTTAGAATTTTATAAGGAAATTGGTCGCTGGTAGCCTGATTTTTAATTTTAAAGGAAAGGTGTGAATAAAAAAAATGCTTGAATACAGTTTAATTGTTGATTTGACAAAGCTATTTTGTCAGTTGATGAGCGAGTTCTCTTATGGAAACTCTTGGATTTTCTTCGACTGATAACAGAACATTCAGATTTCTATTTTCTTGTTCTTCACTAAGAACCACCGGTTTTTTATTTTTAAGAAGCGAACCTATTCGTCTCA